TATTCTGGTACATCGATTGTAGAAAATACGCTTAAAAGTTGCTTTTTGATAATTAAGAGCTTATTGATCATTGGAGTAGTTGGAATGAAAAACTCATTGAACGAAACTAGGAAAGTATATATGTCCAAATGTCTTAACTACTGGAGAAAGCATTGAGTTGCTTATTAGGAAACTTTGATACACTCCTCTTAAAATAGGTAATTCTAATGTTGAGAAAGTAGTAGGGTTCTACACCAGTTTTGCTCACTCAATTATTCAACTCCTGATGCTAAATTGGTTCAATCAGATGACCAGCAACTCACAATTGATCAACTAGATTCTATCATATTTCGAATGACCGAGTCTTCTATACAAAAAAATTCTGTGCAATTCATCTCTTCTGCGAATAATCTCCAAGTGCCATTTTTGGAAGAATGACGTAGCAGAAGTTTTCAAGCCTCCTCGCTTGAGAAATGAGTACTATGTTCTTCGTTTTTCTCCATTTTTTATCTCTTATTACCTAAATATCGAGTCTATGCTCTCGCTGCTTGCACACCTCACAATGAGGCCAGTAAATGGGAGGAGCAATGGGCGGGTCCTGACCTCTGCGGCCCGGAGGTGCTAGAACCCTCCTGGGTGCGAATGCCGGTGCGAAGTTGGTCCGAGGAAAAGTGCTAGGAACTCCTGCACGCCCTCCCCGCCGCCCAACCTAAAAAGGCAATTGGTCAGGAATAGAACGTATGATCGGAATTGCTTGACTCCAGGCTGTGTAGTTTGTCCATTCGGTAGAGAGGGAGACTGTATGGTGGCAGGCGTGATATACATCATCACATGTTTATCATGTGGCGACACGTACATAGGCGAAACAGGGCGCCCGCTTTGCTGCCGCATTAAGGAACATCTGGATGGACTGAACAAGTCAAGGACCAGTACACCGCTCGGTAGTCATCGCTTACGGCAACACGAAAATGCTGAAATACAAATTGGGGTCTCGATTTTGTCCTATGAACCCGAAGTCCTATCGCGCAAGACTTTGGAAGCGTTTTGGATCAGCGCTAAAAATCCAAAAATGAACCGGAAGGAGGAGTGTTTTGCAGTAACCAACGAACTCGCGCCATATCAGGCCCTTTGCGGTTTCTGAGGCTAGGTCAGGTCACCTCATTACTATAAATAGGGCAGAGGTATAGTTATTGCATAGTTGGTGGTCCCTCGTACCCCCTATACAACGATTAAGGTGAGTATTGCTCAGCCGTGGCTCTGTTTCTTTCCTTCGTACTAGCTTCCAATTGAATTATCTTGCTTCTTCGTTGACGTCTGAGGAATGGGATCCTTATGTATTCGACTTTCTAGGCTCTGACGAAGGCGATTGCGCCGAAACGTTGGCCGAAGTTAATAAAGAGAAGTTGCCAACTTGGTCGTGTTGCTCAACATCATACGACATCGTTCACATCTGGAATAGTATGGCCGGTCCCGACAACACCGCCAACACCCATGGCCGTTCCCTAAGAAGTCAAAATTGAAATCAGTTTTTTGGTTTCGCCGCGATGTTTTTGGGATATTATTCACTACACTTACTTACATTCATTCCGACATAGTTATGATCAATATCCAGGGCTTCTCCTTTTTTGTGAAGGTTGTGTTCTCTTTGTCACTCAATGTGAAAGTTGCCAGAATACGCAGCTCTAAATATGTATCGAAGGTATGGTCTCACCTCCGCGCTGAGCTAGGGTATGCTTCGCAGAGCTTGAAAGCGCAGCCTTTAGCAGGGCAAGGAATGCGAAAGGTGCCGTTGATGGTGAGAATCATATACGGTCAGGGCTCATCACAGCTGATACCGGGGCAAGCTGGATACTTTTTTAGGGCGAAAGCAAAGGGAATATCGTTTTTCCGGGGTCCGGGGCGGAGAAGAGCTGCAAGGATACCACCGGCATGCTGTCCATCAAATAAACAAAGGCGTTGTTTTCAGCCAAAACGCAATAGCATGACACCATGCATGTGTGCATGCGCGTTGGGGGACCCGAACTACGGCCCAAAATTTTATGGAAACTTATGTGAATGAAAGCTGTGCTGAACTTTTGTCTGAATTAGCTGGCACCGTGCCAGCTGGGTGCCAGCTGAGCTGGCACTGAGGCTCCCGCCAGAGTGCCGAAGTTATGCCAGCGCTACGCCAGCATTTCGATCGATACACGTGTATTTCGTTGGGGCGGGGCTAGCTGACGTCCCCAACGAAATACACGTGTATCGATCGAAATGCTGGCGTAGCGCTGGCATAACTTCGGCACTCTGGCGGGAGCCTGACACTTTGCTCGCATAAGTTTTCATACCTTTTTACATAAATTGTATATACAGTGTAAAAGTTTACATACAGAGAAGAAACAATTTCATAATGTTTTCTTTTCAGCGTTTTATAACCATCTGAAACTTACTCGGTCTGCCCCGCAGTCGAAAAATCGGCTTTTTCTGCTCCCCAAGATGTGATTCAACCACCTAAAAAGCTCAGAAAGCTGTGAAAAGTTGTTTCATGAAATCAGCATGCATAAAAACCCTACTACATACTTTTTCATGACCTAAAAATAGTGATCGATCTTCAGAACAGGTCAAAGGGGACTTCGTACGAAATTTTCGAGACCAAACGGAACTTCGTTTTGAGATTTTCTGGCGTCAGCTCGTGCAGAGCCGTGTATACGGTTCTGATAGAAAAAGCAGTAGTTGCGCAGAGCCGGTGGTGGCTATTCGGTGGATCGTACCGGAGGGGTTCTGTCGCTTTTAGGTTGATATCTCCTTCTCCCCGCACTAGGCCTAGACTAGTCAGGGAAGGACTCGAAGTCGAAATCGGCTTCCCACATGAATGATATACCCATCCTCAGACAATCGGTGCCGTAGTCGCGCCGGACAGTCGAAATCTGCCAGAGCCGCGGCGGACCCAGTTGACCAATGAGAGCGGGGCGAGGGGGCGGTCCCTTCTTGTAGGTCACGGTGACGTCACCGGCAGGCGAGTGGGACCCTTCTCCGGATCTGCTCCAAAGGTACGCAATTTCTGCTCCGGAGGTACGCCAGATTTGGCAGAGCCGCGGCGGAGAAATTTGCCCGCCGCGAGTCCGCCAGATTTGGACGAGCCGCGGAGCAGAAAATTGGAGGGGCTCCGGCGCACGAGTGGCAGACCCCCCGCTGGGGAAACCCCGCGGCCCTACCATTTCTGCGCCGGAGGGGTCCGATCGACTGTCTGAGTCTGAAGAGCATCAAACGCTGATTTGAAAACATCTAGACACTGAGTTATAACGTTTTTTGGCTCCGAAAGTTGAAGGCGCAAGTAGACTATTCGTCCAAGATTGCACAAATGTCGCATCATTGGATGTCAGAGCACTCTACGCTTGGAATATTTCTGTTCAATGCACTCTCTCTACACTTCTTTATTTGGGCGCTAAATCCGGAACAAGTAATTTGACCTTAATTTTGTTATCATTTTCTCTCTAAAAACACTCATAACTCTTTGTATAGAGACGCTTGGCAGAAAACAAAGACTTTTGGAATTAGCGTTGGATGCTCTTTGGAACGTGTTTCATCTGGAAAGCCGTTTCCGAGTTCGGGTCCTCCCCTTGTAAGCCAGATTGTAGGAGACAAGCATTTTTTGTGTTTTCAAGAATTTTTCAAACAATTTTCTCGGATTTCTTGCTTCAAATTAATTCAGCGCAATTTGGGCATGTGTTCTTTTTCTTATTTTTCGGCTGTGCTCATATGAGGTCGTCACGTTATCGTGGCCTTTATAGTGCCAAAATGAGCCGTGAATCATTTGAGTCAGTTCAAACGAAGATTAGTGCTACAGTACTGCGGCCAGTGAAATTTTGTTTTTGTTTTTGTTGTCGGTAATGATAAAGTGGCCCCAAATCTATAGCCTAAGCAGCCCTCTATATTTGAAGACATCAGTGGTACTAACTTTTGTCCTATTCTAAAGGAGTAGTAAATATAGAGTCAGTTTTGTGACGACACTTCAAAACTTAATTTTTCCTTTGAAATTTCGTTCTTCTTTTCTACGTCTTCAAATTTTTTGTGAAATATGAGGGAACATAGTCGCTAATAAGGTGGCTATCCAGAATTTTGGGTTTCTCAATAATCAAATGGAAATTTGCTGAAAAAATGCAAACAATTTGAAAATATTTTGACGCAAATGCGTTTTTTTGCGTGACATGTGTATGTTGAAAACCTAAAACCTCACGTAAATTGAAGAAAAGAAAAATTCAAAGGAGTGTAAGGAATTTTGCAATCAAGTGTAACAGAACTTATATTACGACTTAGCACTTCAGAGGGCTGTGTACTTCATTTATTGCTCCTTTGATTAGGAAAAGCGAAGCTCTGCCTTTCTGGAGGTGTGTAAAGAAAGTGCTAAGTAGAAAAAATGATTGTCAGGCAGCTTTATCTCATCTAGTATAATAGCATTGAAATGGAAAAAGCTCAAATAGCTACAGAATCTGTAAAGAGTGACTCACATTGGCTCACTCAGGCTCTCTGGATACTGATCAGTATTTGATCTTTCTGGATAATAACTGCTTGATTTTTTCCAATCCCTACGTTTGCTTCTCATTTGGCTTCTAGCAAACAATCTTTAAGATTTTCTGGCATGCTCTTCAGATTTTGAAATTTCGTTTTTCTAGAGTAACTTTAAAAGCAGATGAAGATTAGGTCCGATAAGCTTAGAAATAAACAGCGTGCAAAAAAAACTTGCTATATCCTCTGAATTATCGCAAGGCATAGCAGTTCTTGCAAATATATGAACAATGTTCTGTGATTCTAAATCGCACTTTGTCCATGTTTCGCCGTAATTCGTCGCTTTAGCTTTTGCTCACAGTCTATCTATCAGAACGCATAGGAGAAATTCAGGATAACTAAGCGTTCAAAGTGGCACTAGTGTATGAATCAAATTTTTTCTTTGATCGGTTAGTGTATTGAAATTTTTCCAAATTTCAGTCTAGAATCTTTTGCGCGTGAATGAGGCACTGTGGATATGATTTAGTCAGCGTAGTTTAGGTTAATCCCTCATTCTGCTCTTGGTACATAGATGCTCTTCGCACCAAAGTAAGTGCTGTGACTATGGTGAGCATATGGGAGCTTGTGTCTTCGATCCTGTTGATTTTCTTGTTCAGATGCGTGGAACAGACCAAATTACCTCAAATGGCTTGGATGCCGATATGCATCGGGACATCGCTTGTACAGAGAAACTTCTGAAGATTGGAGAACGTTTCTACCATGCAACAGATTCGGATTCACGTCGTCGGTAAGTTTTTCAGCATTGCGATCTTCCTCGATTTTACATATTTAGACTCCTGCCGCAAATTCTGGATACTATCTATGAATTGGTAGATCTCAAATACGACAAAATGATACGAGCAGACGCTTTGTTGACTTCCTCTACATTTGATGATCATAGACAGCAGTTAATGTTTGTTTTTACCTGTCTGGACCACTGCCATCAATTCGAAGAACTCTCCGATGGTAAGTAACAGTGGGCCCCAAAATTCTGGGGAGGGATGGTAACAGAACCTTCCGAACGAAGGGGTGGGGATGCTGCAGGTTTTGTATCCATTGTCTCCAGGAATGCCCTTGGAATTTTTTGCTGATCTATTTGATTTTCGAAAACTTTTGAGAATTATTTTGATTATTTACAAGTAAAGCAAGTCACTTGCAAGGATTTTGGGTCCTATTCTCTCTTCCGCTCCCTTCTTGATCCGCTATTGTTATGCGTTATTCCATTCATTGAAAGTGATCACCAAATTTCAGATTTTTTGGAATGGATCATGTCTCGCTTCATCCGATCTCGTATGAGTATTGTTGTCAACGCGAAATTCGGTGGTTTCTTGCAGGAAAAAATTCTGCATCTTGCCAGTCTAATCAATGACAAACAGTCATTTTTGACGCATATCGTCATGCAATTGGCCAGTAAGTTCGTTTTTGTTCACGACATCTCGCATCTGCTTACTGCACTACAGAGTAGGTCCCACTGACTTTGTATAATCCCAAATCCTATCTTTCATCAGTTGTAAACCCGACTTGAGAAAAATGTTTTTTTTTTCAAATCAGTCATTCTCACACACTTATCAGCTCAAATTAGGCCTCATTCAATAGAGTTCTTTTATTGATAGCGGCTGCATTCAACACCAAATTCGTTGCAGGGTAAATAATTTTTAAAAAATCTTCGTCATATCTTGTCGTCCTCAAAATCGTGCAGCACGTGATTACGGCAAAAATCAAATTTTTGGAAGATTGATTTGAAGTCTCAGTGAGCGCTAAATTTGGAAAACATCAATGTTTCAGCTCTTAAATAAGCCTTCCTATTCTTACACGCATTCTGCGTTCATTTCCACGTGTTTGCTCAAATAATCTTGATAAGTCGCAAGACTTAATTGGAGATTTCTAAAAAACTCGCAGCGTAAGGTTGGCTCTATGTTCTTCTTTCTGATGCTTCAGCTTTCTTGAAACAAAATACCCTAATTTCCGGGGTATAAGGCGCACCTTGTATAAGGAGCACCCGCCGCAGCGAACAATGGCGCGAAAACGCTTTCTAAACGATTGCTCTCTAAATATAGAAAACTGAAGACTCAAGACTGCCGTGATCAATCCCCGGTGCTACATTTGTGCTCTCCTTTGTCTCCAATAATGCTACTGGTACTAAGACTGTGCTTTCCTTTACAATGATACTACTGGTATTTTGAATGTGCTGTATTTGCTTAATTCTTGTCATTCTTGAAGAATAAAAAAAAGGTAGAGGTTTGTTCTGAAACAAATCATTATTGAGAGGAAAACAGCAAAAAAGGGAGCAAAAAGGTACTCCTGAAAGAGGTTGCTGTTGGCTGCTTGTGCGGCGCCGCGCATCGCGTACGGCATCATGACCAGCCCGCGCGCGGTGAAAGCTACTGCGCCTTATACCCCGGAAATTAGGGTATAACATTTTGAGTTTTTTATCTGAAGCTTAAATTAGGTTTTGTGCAATTCTTGCTCATGAACTTGAATTGATGCGCTGACAGGGTTCACATGAAGCTGAAAATTCCGAATTCATTAAGTTTGTCGGAAGTCAGAATAATATGTAATCATTCGATTCTTAGAATCATTGCTTCGCTCATAGGGCTCGTTAACGGTGGCAACGATTTTTCTCTCAGCAAAGCTACTGGTAAATATGATACACACACCGATCTCGTCAATGTGTTGGACTGTCGAGGCACCGTCTACAGTTCTCTTCTGTAGGTATTTTACTATGATTTTTTACGAAAAATTCAAGGAACTTTTCGGTTTAGAGATGTAATTAGACATGTTAACTTCAAGTACGAATCGCTATCATGCAGAACCCTGCAAATTCTATGGTTATCACTTGTGAAAATATGCGCGGAGGGACATCCTCGACTGAAAACTGTATGCTCAAGAAACTCCAAAATAACTTTTCTCTGAAAGCATCAGTGTTGCAGACATGTGTTCTTCTTTTCCAAAGACTTTTATCACTGGACCTGGGCAACGAAATTGTCTGTCGACTGGTATTTGATGTTATTATGGCTACCGAAGAGTTTATTGTCAGAGAGATCAATTCGACAGATGGCTTAGAGACTTTGATCCAAGCTCATGAAAGTTGCTTGAAGGCTAGTATCAGTTTTAATCTCTTTTTTTTTTGCAAAAAGAAAGAAAGGTGAGGAACAAACGCATCAATTCATGCTTGACCTGGATCTCCCTGCCCCATTTATATCTTCAAAACGCTGAGACTATGTAGCAGATCAAAGCTTTATACAATGATTTATCATGGGTATTAGCATTATGGGTCCTCCCTGCTTTACCATAAAACATTCGTCTATAGGAGTAACAACAAGCGGAAATAATTTGACGTAGCAAACAAGTTTTCGAAAATTTGTGGTTCCAAATAGTAAGAATCGCTAATCTTTAGCGGAGTATGAGCTTACTGGAAAATCACTGTTTTGATTCCGTTTGTCCGCTCGTGACTATTCTAACTTTTTCGTTACTTTAGGTGCTTATGGAGCTGCTTCGTGACATGGAGCACAAGAAATCATTCGACAACATAGCAGTTTCTGTAATTCTTTCTTGGGGCATACGAGCTGCGGAGTTAGCCTCACGATTTGATGTTATACGTAAGTCCTTCTTCTAGAAAACTCTTCCTAGGGTTTATCTGATAATAATGATTACTGCATGATGATGTATCAAGCATACCTATCTTGTCAAAAACTGTCCAAATTAGGACAGATGTGGATGAACAGGAAGTAGGGAAGAAGGATAAAGGGAGGGGGAGATGATTCACAAACACCAATCCATTTTGACCCATATTGGGAAACGTCGGCTAAAATAGCTTAGTTTAAATTGTTTTTTTTCCGACCGCAAAAACGATACCCCCTTTGATTTCTGTCCCAAAAACCATATCCAGCTTGCTTATAAGCCACCCCTGCCGAGCTCTGTTTATAAATTGGGCGCATAAGTCGAAGATAGCGAAATAGAGGGTGTTGAAAACTGTGGAGCTGCACCTTACTTATCGATATCAGACATTGAGCTTTGTATGAAGAAGAGACGAATGTGATAGGAAGGGTTGCCACCGTGGCTGAATATGTATGCGGTATATAAGCGAGCAGAGTCTTTGTTGGAGTCTCAAGTTTCGCTTCTGCTGAAGAATGTCTGTATTAGTGGACGACGAAATTTGCGCGTTGTAGAAATTACTATAATACTTCCGAATCCCAATCTAATAGCATGAATTCTAGCATTTCGCTTCGAGCTGATCACAACATCTGTCTCGCGTTTGCTAAGCCGTTTACAAGGCGATCTACCGAAGGAACATTTAGATTTGATGAATAGGCTGGCAGATCTCGTCCAGGTAGGCACGCAAATTGAAGGCAGTGGGTAAGCAATTGGTACTTGGTGTTCTGGGGGTATTGTCTGAGATGCCCAAATGCCTAAATCAGTGCCTGAAAGACAGCTGATATGATCCATTTAACTCCGGAAATCATAGAAGTTCCACTCGTCACCGTACTTGTAGGTTAGGTCGTGACTTATAAGGTCTAACCTTTTCCTCTTTTTCCGTTTATCTAATAAGCCAGGTATGCAGATGCCTAAGCACTGCCTTTATGTGCACAACGGTTTTCTTCAGCTTCGTAAGTCACACGCGAAGAGTTTTCGAATACGTGTTTCAGGTATTAGTGGAACACCTTTTGAGTGTCGACGTGACACATAACGGAAGTGTGGTAGATCATCTTCAACCATATTTCTCTTTCTTGCTCAACTCCGACTATCTTTCGTCACAAAAGTGAGCGTTTAATCATCTCAACATAGAATCTGTTCCTACACCAACATCTTGACCATCGAATATTATTCATCCTAATTTAAGTGAACGAAGTCAGTGGATAATAACGTACTGTGAGTCGCAGTGGCAAACGCTAATGAGCAACGGGAAGCACGGTGATGCGATGAAAATCAGGAGGATCGCAACGGCCTCTTTGGCACTTTGTAAAGGAGAAAAGGCTTCATCTGTGTTCAAAAGCATCTTACCCTCTGAACAACAACTTATTCAGGTGTTTAGTCTGGTAATTCTGCTCCATAATCCGCCTAGTGCCGCTTCAGGTCATTGAAGCAGCATCTAAATTAGGACCAACTGCTGCTTCCGTACTGCTCAATGTCTTTGAACTTGTTGGTGATCTCGTGTCACATCAAACGGCATTCCCCACATCGAGCTTAGTGGCTTTTCTCTCGCTTCCTTGGTTAATGGTGAATATCTATTTTTGAAGACTATGATATAGCTATAGTGTAGTACAAAACCTTAGGACCCAGAGTTACAACTGCAATCCAAACGCCACATGGCTTCCGTACCTCTGTTGAAGGAAATGAATCGCCTTGCAAGACTGAATTTACCGATTGCAGGTAGGCACCTACAAAGGATGAGGTCTAGTATTGTGAAAATCAAAAGCATATCTAGTATCTAAATGTTACAGATGAAAAGATCCTAGAATACACTCTCTCAGCAATGTCAATGATGCAAGGGTTTTGTGACTGGCGCAGAACGATTTTATTATCCGCCATGTCTTTGCCTCGTCCTATTCTCGTGCAGGTAATGCGAAGCAAATGTTTTGGAATCACAAACCCATTTGTGGTCTGTATAAGTCATGTCCTTTTATGATGCAAGGCTGAAAGCACCTGGAAAAATTTCCTTGGAGTGGTGCAGCTTGTCTAAAATTCGGAAAATCTTGCTCATCTTGAACCAGCAGAAGGACACCCCCAAAAAATCGATAATTCGTTTTTCGCCGTTGTGCCATGAAAGGCTATGATCTTTAGGATCATTTGTGCTGAATAGGAACATTATATTTTGCAGGACCTTTTGACTGCTTTCATGAACTCCTGTTATTTTTTTTTTACGGAAACCTCCTATGGAAACGTAATATCACAAGAACGTAGCAAACAAAATGACGTCTTGTATAGAATGTAAAACAGAATGGTCTATTTTCACAACATATATGATCAGGGCTCAGCACAGGTGGCTTACAAGCAAGCTGGATATAGTTTTTTGGGACAAAAAGCAAAGGGGGTTTCGTTTTTGTGACCGAAAAGAACGAAATTTTCGACGTTTTTTTAGTTGATGTTTCGTTTTTTTTTTGGATTCTTAGGGATTATGGTCTAGGGTCAAAGCGGACTTCGTAATTCGCAAAAGTCAAGGGGGACTTCGTTTCTTGCATTTTCAGCTAGTCACCTCTTGCCGAGCCCTATACATGATTCTGAACTTTACCGCATCAGTGCGGTCCAGCGCCTCCCTTTTTGAAAGTTACTCACATGAATTATAAAATGTGCAAGTGACTTTTTTGTAATTACTTGCAAATTATCAAAATAGTTTCTAATTTTTTTTTGAAAATTCAATTTAGCCTTAAAAAAGTTGAAAAGCTCACCGAAAAATTTTTTCAAGTGCATGGCTAACGCAACGCACCTTCATTAGAAAAGTTTTTGTCCCCCCCCCCCCGAATGGAAATCTGTGTACGCCACTTCTCCATATTGTGGAAAAGTTGCCCTTTCATGCAAAATTCAGGCAGCTCTTTCTCATCTCGCAATGTTTGTCTCCTCTCTGGATACGCCATCTCTACACCGTCTTCTGACCCCAGCGGTACAGCTCGCTTCAAATCCGAGTTTTAGGGTAACTTTTTTGCGAGCTTTTCAAACATGGGTAATTTTTACTTTCCAGCACTTGGATATAGACATGGCATGCGTGTTGAACGCCTTATCCCACTCCCTTTGTGCCAGTCATTCCGAGAGTCAAGTTCGGGAAAATGCTGTGGAATGTTCCGCGTGTGAAAGAATGATGGCAGGCATGGAACTTCCGGAGCAAGACAAAGTTCAACAACTTTCGGGATTACCTGATTTACTGTTGAAAGTCTTGACAGACGTAAAGTACAACAAAGAAAAACATATTAGATTGGGTAGGTTCTCGCAGTTCTCTACCACTCTCATCACTGATTACAATCCAACGATTCAGATGCGGCTGCATTGCTGTTCACGACATTCTGTCATGTCCTGTACTCTCCAGATGTGTATATGAAGCTAGCGAAAGCTAGTTTGTATCTAATAAATGATGAAGATGAGGATGTACGCAGTGTGTATAAGTGAGTCACTTACTGCCACATCTCAGCATTTTGGCAGCTAATGCTGATTTAGATCTGCTTTCAAAGTCATAGTGTCTAGCGCGTGGTCGTCTGAGCTGAGTGATGACATATTTGTCGAGCAGTTTTGCAAAGCATATCCACTAGACTGTGACCAGACAATGGCGGAAGCTTCCAACACATTCGTAATCCTAGCAGCCAAGTACTCCAAATGCTTTCGGCTTGCAAGCAACTCTTTGCACCAGCTGTTTGTTCGAGCGTTACGTTATCCTGGCTCAATTGTGAGTGGATGCCTTAAAATTCAGGAGTAGAAATCCAGCGCAGCATTTTTTCTTCAGAGCATATTCGATGACTGCAAACTTACGATACAGCAATTAGCTGCGCAAGAGTTCAAGGAGGGTCGGGATGTACGACGATTTTTTGCGCGAAGGAAGAGGGTCAGTCGACAGCTGTAATTGTGAAGAACTGATGTTTGCCTGGTCCAATTTATCTAGGTACAATGCTCATTCGTCAAAAAAGTCACCGAACCCGCGAAGTTCACTGAAATCCGCGTCGTATCACTGTATCGGCGCAAAGTGGGTGAAATCTTTGCAAGGGCACCGTTCGATTCAATTTGAAGAGCGCATCTTCTGATCTACATAAGTGCGATGTAGACACGGTAGATGAACTGTAGGGGTCAGATCTCATGAATCATTTAGATTTCTGCTTGTGGTAGGTTATTCAGTTTGCTTATCCACTGCACACTGAGTACCTCTCGTAGGCACAATTCATCCTCTACCGCGCGTCTACCGTTTCACGAGTGCCTCCATATAACAAAAAATACGCCTCGCCGTGCCCCGGTATCAAATATGAGAAATTTGTTGAAAAATTCCTGTTTCGCCTCTTGCCCCTAGACAGGAAAAGCATTGAAGGCTAACCATTTCCGAGCTAATCACTAGGAGAGGAGTGTGGCAATAGTGGTAGTCTCCATTCGAACTATGTATATATAGTGGGAAGTATTTATCAGGGTTGTCAGCGGTTAGATCAGAAATCAAGACAGGAAGGGCAACGATCTTGAAGATGATCTAACCTTTTTCGATGGTTTCATTGATAAAATTAACAAATTTTTTAGTATTTTTGTATACATTTAAGAAGTTATACTTGCAAGTAATGACTTTATTATACGTTAAACAGTTGTTAGAGTTCGTCCACTTTGAACTAAGATACGACTATGCGATGCAGATTCCGATGAACACCGGTGGAGTTCGGTGATTTTTTGACGGGTCATGCATGACTCATGAGCGGTGATCTTGCAGCTTCGACTGCTTATTAACCTTGGTGTCAGATACTTGATGACACCGTTAACTGATTCCATTTTGATTACATTTTCAGGTTTTCTGCCAGAACCTTGTCGATGAAGTTTTCGTTGCTGTGTCACGTGGGGACCATACTGAAGAAGTTTTGGACGAAGAGTTAGACGATTTTCTTGTGTCTGCGCACGAGCTGTTTGGATTTGATAATCTCTGCAGGTGCAAGACGTTTAGTATGATTTACTCACAGACTTCAAAAAAAAGCGATTGCAGTTTTGTGCGATCTGCAGTCTATATCGTGCCATTCGTATTGCTCAGCGATGCAAAATATAAACGAGTCTCTGTACAATTTCTGGACAGGATTAGAGCACACCTCGCCAAACACAGGCAGGATTTGGTAGCAGAAGTGAGTCCTGAAAGTCCTACAAAACTCTATTTGTCTGAAGTAGCGTTGTATTGCAGTACTTCCCTTCTGTTCTTGAAAGACCTTTGAACTCTGCGCAGAAGAAGTCGCTGAAGTCTTTTATCAAAGAATATTGTAATCTCGATTTGGTTGGTTTGTTGGTCCTAATTACAAATTTTTCAAATTACGTCATTGCAGAGATACTTTTTTTATACGAAGCGATTTCTCTGCACAGTCTATGCCTTGAGAAGCATATCTCTCGACACTCCCGGTTATCTTGAAATCCTACAGACCATACGCGGTACACAGAGGGATATCAAAGAGCCGTTCAGCCTAACATCAGTCATGAAGTTCAAGTTTGTTTTCATGATTTTTCCTTTGTTGTAGCTCGCAAACCTCGTTATAGCTGTGAATATCTCGGCTTTCTTCTATCTTTTCGTCGAAGTTTGCTTGATGACGATCATTATGAACAGCGAGATGTGCTGTTGTCGAGTCTGGCTACCATAATTCGATTGGTAGACCAGAAGTTCCTCGAGGAGGTAGACGTATCGTTTTTGAAATAAAAATCTGGTTTTGATCACAAGAGTCTTGTCAGATCTCCCACAAAATAATGGTTGTTTTACGTGCAGCTACATTTGTGGGTGAGGGATCCGTTGCAGTATGGTCCGAGTTCGTGCAAAGACTTAGTGACGGGTTAGTAACTGCAAGATTAGCATCATTATCGCAGTAATTCACTATTTGTCGTGAAGGATGCTTGCGAATCTGCTGCCAAAAATCCTAATTGCCATCCAACCCCTTTTGAAATTTCCTGCCACCAATAACTTGTTGGACAGTATCTTCGACAGGAGGAAGCCGCTCGAGATTGAACAGAGGTTCGTCTACTTCCCAAATCGACGCTTTTATAAATTCCAAATTTTAGCGAAGCATTCGAAAGAACGGCGTTGGTCTTGCTAAATTCTGAAGCTGGGGACTCGTCACGCATCAATTTTCACCTGAAAAGAACTTGCTCAAACGACACTACAGAGCACATAATTTCTAGTAAGCGTCCTAAATCTGCTTGATTTGCAAAAGATAAACAAAGTCTTAGGCTGTGTGCGTATGCTCCTTGAGGAATGTGATACGGTCGGCAGAGTGGTTCTACATAAATTATTGACAGTCTTGGATGGAAATCCGCTTCCGGATAGCTTGTCAGCTGAACTTGTAATGAATTTGTTCATCTAATAAGAGCCATCAGTGAACTGAAGACAACGATTTGCAGATACCTGCTTTGCTTCACACCATGCGCAGTTGCAGTGACAGCGCACTTCGTGTGCTCTCCGCTCAGTGTCTTGGGAAAATTGGAGCTGTTGATCCGGGCAGAATTGGTTCGTCTGGATTAGGGCTGGCGAACAATCAGAAGAAAATTGCTTTTGTGGATGACGCCAAGGAGGTGGGCGTAGGAAAACAGCACCAGTAACATAGAATCAAAAATAATTTATCAGAGTCCAAGTAATTCTGTCATCTGAATTTCGTGTATGAACTGAGAAGACCTTGAAGGCACCATCCACCCAAACTGAGATGAGATCTTGGCTGTACAGTAGTAGGACCACTAACAATGTAGTTGTCCAAGTCACGCTGCAGAAGATGAATTCCGCACGATAAGCTTCAGAAGATAGAAGCGGCTGTGGTGGTTCCGCAGGCCAACGTGGGTGGTCTGAATTTAAAGTCCAAGATTGAGCTTCAGTTCATTTCTCATATCCGCCTTTCATTATGGTTATAGAATTTTCGACATTTTTGTCACCTAGGAACCTGCTCGAGCTCGTTATTTTCAGACTATCCACGTTGGTGGACGGAGCCCCGGGGGCCTTTTCTACCATCTGAAGCGTAGTTTTCTCGCTTCGATACTCTTTTGCAGCGGGAGTAGGTCGACGATCTCGGAATTTACATCTGGGATGGTGCCTCAAAAATCTGTAGCAAGCGGCAACTTTAGGACTCATCCTTGGCCAAAAATCTAGTTTGAAATTCACCCAGACCGTACCCTTTCCAAGGTGACCGCCCAGCTTCCTCGAGTACCGCAGAGGTACGCGTTAGGGTCAGAGTGGAGTTGTTTTGGCCACTGAAAGATATGAGCTGTCGCTTGAGCGATGGCTAATTGATTCAGACTTTGCAATCAATTTTCATCTATTCACGCAAACCTAAATTTGCTTGGACATTGCTTTCATCACTTTAATGGAGACAACTGCAAGTTGAATCCTATTTGTTGACAACTATAATACTAAAGTTGGCATTTCGCTCTTAAGAAGCAACTCCGTCGTTGTAATAACTAATGTAAGCCTTTCAGTTTTACATTGACATATTGGAGCGAGCATGGCGTGTTTACTCAAATATCCTGGACGCAGATGTCCTAGACCAGGTTGAGTATGCTTTACAGTCGCTTCTGTCCGAACTCGTGGGAAAAACCGATGAATTCGGCATAATGGAACGGTGAGCGTCTATTAGACCGGAGTTGTTGTTTGAAAATATTTTCCAGCTTGAGCGAAGAATGCCGGAGAGATATCGAGCCGTTCAGGAGTAGCAGTCTAGTCCAGACTCATGATAGGAAGGGCCCTATAAAAGAGAGGTAGTTCTTTCTCTTGTAAGTACGTTCAAAGACACTTGTGTGAAGTATGATCTCCTAATTATAGATGCTGTTTAGGCCTATAGTCGATCACAGCTCGGGTTACGAAGAGTGGCTCCTGCAATGCTTCATTATCGGTGTCCCAAAGGTTCTAGAAAAATGGCTTCTGAAACGTCAGACAAATTGTGCAAATTTCTAGGTTCGTCAACATCCCGAAAAAGAGCTTTTCAAAGCCTTGAAATGGATTGTATTTGCGAAGGACGCTGTATTCACTAGGCATGTGCTTCCACAACTGATTGTTCGGCTAATTCTCGAAAACAACGAACTCATGATCAAAGAGGTTAGCACGCTTTTGTTGCCAGAAGATGTATAGAGTACATTAAAAAATTACTTCATAGTACCGTAATGAGATGACCAGCGTCCTGGAAAGAGTTGTCACTAACGCTGCTGGTTGGATGAGACTAGCGGCTCATGTTGTCTTTTCTGTCCTAGATACTCTCGAGCAGTATGCCATAAGGAGAATGGCGAAGAAAAGGCCTAATGACAAGGTTCCAACATTTAAGAATGGCTGTTGTGAACAGCACATTGTTCTTTCAGGAGTTAGAGAGAACACAAACGTTCCTATCTTACGTATTCTCGCAGAAGACATCTAATGGATCACTGTTGGTGGTAGAAGCAGCCGAGAGGTGCCAGTGTCTGCACAGAGCACTCCGCTGGTAATAAAGATGTTTTTCAACTCCAAAGGTGTAAAAATCATAATAAGAATTTGAGACGCTTGTTCTTATGAAAAATCAAACGTGAAGATCTGATCAGTCATCAAGTAAGCATTGTACGAAATTGCAGGTGTGAGCAGCATGAGATAAAGCAGGACGAATTGGGAGGCAACATTTTCGACCGCAACCATTTCTACACGTTGCAGGTAAATCAAAATTCGTGAAATTATTCCGGCAACCTTTAAAGAGTCCCAGGATTTATATCTAAATTCGATAAATTTTCATGGAGTTAGTTGATAAAGATAATTTCTGTCGTTACTAGCTATGCTAAAGACGAATTCCTGTGTGAAAATATGGCATCATCGAAAAAAAAATGGTCCTTAGAGAATGAGGTCACTCCTGGAAATCATTTGTTCAAGGCGAAATTCTGTACGAATGTGGGATAACCAGACTTTTTTTTACCACTTCTGAGAGATTTATTTATTTTATTTATTTTATTAAGTAGGGAGACCCTACGAAAATAAAATCAACAAAACAAACAACATAAAAAAAGCATCAACACAACGTCATAACAAAACAATTAACGAGATTCATTTTTTTGCAATTAGCTCCCTAACAATCTTTTGAACGAAGCCAGTTTAGGTACAAATACTCGTTCACGTATAAGTACGTCTACATCAGGCAAAACTCTAAAATAAAGAAATGCCTTCGTGCATTGAGCTTAGATCTTGGAATAATCAGTTTTCTTGTACCGCCCCTAGTTTTAGATATCTTTGTCATAAAAAACGTATCACGATTCAATCCGCAGTCTTCATAGAATATCTTATGAGCCATGATAAGGTCAAATTTTTTCCTTCTGCAGGACAAGGTCATTAACCATGGCCTGCAGAAGGGAAAATCTAGATCTAGAGATCTAAGCAGTCTGTACTCACACATGTTTGACGATTTTGATGATTCCAATCATATGGCAATAGGTGGCCAAAGCTAAGCTATTGGATCAAACAAAATTGACTTCTGTGCACAAACCCTCCGCCATAATAATTTCATTTCAGCGTATCTACACTCAGCTCCAGAATGTTGATGGAGTTCTTGGAGCATTCGAGTGCATCTCTGCGTGCACGTCACCTACAGCAGATGAAAGAATCTTGGCTCTCGAAGCGAATGGAGACTATAACGAGGCGCTGCCGTTATATTCACAATCGGCCAATAATAAAGAGGTTCCGCTTAGTATGAAAGTATTATCTTCTTACATCAAACGTTTTAGCTGCAATTGATCAAATGCCTCCTGCGATTGAATCAACCTCAACTAGCTTTGAATACTGCCATTTCGTTGTACGAAAGTGAGGAGGAGAAGTCTCCACAGATAGTTGGTGCACTAACTTCTAGTCAGTTGGAGGCCACTTGGCATCTGAGAGATTGGGGCAATCTGGAAAAGATGATACAGGTAAGCTAAGATGGCAGAGTAAATTTGGTAAGACTCTGATCGAAATTGATTTTCTGATGACTGCATCTCTGTCTTGAACTTCACTCGTAGAACTTATCTGATTTAGAAATGTGACCCACTGCTTGATCGAAATGATTGCTCCTGGGGTGCATCTTGTGCATCCATACTTTGTGCTGTGAAACGAAGAGAATCTGCGAAGCTGACTGAGCGAATATTGGCAGCTCGTGAGCGTTTAGTGGAGCGAATCACGGCCAAAACCATCGAAGACTCGAATACTTATGCTCAAGCCTACAAGTATATCGCTAAGTATGTTCACCCAATCAATGTTTGCCGAACCTATGACAAATTATCTCTTTTTAGTTTACACATTTTGGATGAGATTGACGAGAGCACAAATACTCTATCGCTCCTTTCGAGCAACAGATCTGTCGATTTGGACGCCGTGTTGGCTAAATGGCAGGTAAGAATTCTTCAATAAATGCTTATCGGGCAAAAGTTTCAAATGATGCTTAACATAATAAATTGTGTAAGCGCCTCGTTTTGATGCATATAGTTGGAGTACTTTCTTCAAATTTGATTATGTGGAGTCTGGGGAAAATTCTTAGAAAAATTCAGAATAACGCAGTCCTGAACTTTGGATTGCAGAGCGTTCCAAATAATTTCCGGAATGGTGGCTGTCTCCAGATCCTCGCAGTCAGAACACTTCTGTCGCGCTCTCTCAACCATACCTCTGCTTACAAAAATGCACCCGCTACAATTGTCTGTGTAGTATGCAGTTCTGAAATTTTATTGTTTAATTCAGCTGAAATTCTGAAAGTGTCCTTGACATCTTCCAGCCTTCAGCGCTGTTTTTCTATCGATTCCATCTCTTTTCCCTTATGGCGTTACTTCATGTGTCAAATTTTGGCACCCCAAAATTTTGTAAGTAACTGCGGTGCGGAAAAGCTTTATTTCCGGAAAAACTGAACCGCAGACGGATGTCTGTATAATTTTCAAATACTTTTGAGGGATCCTCCCAAAGGTATACAAACTGCTTGCAGGAAACCCCTTTTTGCACAGATTTCATGTTTTGATTGTGACCTTAGCATACGGCGTTGCTGACGCAAGCTTTTTTCCCTTCAGCCGTTCTCGTGAGGTTTTGTGAAATGAGCTCTAAGTCAGTCAAAAAACCCCTTTAAGTGCTTCCAAATGCTTCAAAGGAAACAAAGTGTTATAGTTTTTCAACCAAATAATCTCGAAGTCAAAAATCTGAGATGGCAGACTTATTCAGACGAACTTGTTGTCTACTAAATCACAAGATAATCATGCAAACTTTATTTCATGAAGACACCTTGATATTCGGTAACGTCACAAATGTTTCATTTTACGAATTCAGAACAGATCCGAATGTGTCACGCAGTGCTCCAACATTTTGGAACCGATTCTCTTGGTGCGACGCGAATTATTACGAGCTTCTGCTGATGCTGGAGCGGTCGAACGTCGTGATGTTGACAACGCTCTTACACAACTACTTGTACAGGTTCGTCAGAATGCGTGTGTTGTAGTAGAAAAAATGAAAGACTGGCAGAGTGCCTATGCACATGTACAATCAAATGCTTTCATCTTTGGCCCACTGCATTCTAGGATTTTATAGTATCAGCGAGAGATATTTATTGGGTGATTCAACCACGGGGATTGTACGATGGGTCTAGCAATCGCTTTTGGTTTAGAGCTGTCGTCTTGCTCGCCAATCAGGCCACGTCCAGATTGCATGGACCTTTTTGGTAGAGGCAAAAGCGCTTGGTGTGAACCTGAAGGATGTTGGAATGGAAGAAGCACGCTTTGAATTCCAAAAGGTAAAATTTTCCGTTCTTGGCTGATCTTCGCTCCAGCGAACTCTACTGTTTTTCAGGGCAACCAATCTCAAGCAATAGGGCTTCTATCAAAATTGTTGACTACGAAATTTGCAGACATGAACAAGCTATTTACAAGTTTTGTTCAATGGCATGAAACTGGAGCTAAAAGTAGCGCGGGGTCTCCGGATGTTTTGGTGAAAAAGACTAGTAGAGAATCGAGGGCTGCATTTGCTGAGGTGAGTACACCTTCTGCTTTCATACTCACAAGGGAATGGTCAGAAGTCGAAGTGGCCAATCCACACAAGCTGCATAACATTAGATTCAGCATAAAACGCTGACTCTAAATCTGTCTTCCTTATCTGCAGAGCGCTTTTGTGGACGAAATTATAAGCCGTTGAAGGCCATTATTTTGCTAAGAATTTGTGCGTGTAAAGTGCAAACTTGGCCGTACAAAGCCATTCTCGGCTCAATATTGGACCAGAACATGCAAGGTCACTTCATATGACCCGTACCTAGAGATGAGCTGAAAGAGCAATAATGTGCCTAATTTCGCAATTTTTGTATACGGTTTTTTCGCAGTAAAGTTGCTCATAACTTCGCCTTCAAAGGCGCTGCAGATATGGAAAACAGTTTTGAAATCAGCATTTTATGCTGCATTGAATGGTATGCAGCTTGTATTGATTGGCCACTTCGATTTCTGACCATTCCCTTGTCAGCAAAGTTCTTTTCATTTTGTATACAGGTGCAACTTTTGCGAGCTGAGTACATGCTAAAGTCTGGTGCTGTGGCGGCGAATGATCTCTATCAGATTTATTTGTCTCTGCAGAAGTTTGATGTGCCATCGGAAGATTTGCATTACCGTGTGGCAGTCTTCTGTGATGGCATGTATAGCTTGGATACGGAGAAGGTATGTTTCCTGCTAGCGGTAAAGATGCAATTTTGGGGAGAACGCAATTATTTACATCACAAGACTATAGTAGTTCGGCTTGAAATTGTTGGCCATTTTTCAAAGTGAAAGGTGCTTGTATTCTAGCGTAAAAAAAAGACAGGGTAGATAATTCTTGCTTGACCATTTGAGTCGTGATTGTCTGGCCTTTGTGTTAAATTCGGTCGCACTTTTGCCCCGATAAAGTATTATTTCTTTGACGAAAGATCCTTCCAGAAACTTGTATTATAAGCTAAAAGTAGCCAATTTGCATCTTATAGTCTTGTACTCTATACAAATTGAACTGTCACCAGCTTTGGAGAGTTTTTTCTATCTCTAGAGAATCTTAAACGAGTACTGCAATGGCGCTGCACTCAAGCTTATAATTCTGCTGTTATTTATGCTGCATATCTGTATTTTATTACCATTTGAAGGTGAGAAGCGACTTAGTGGCAAATATTTTGAAGTCTTACGCAAATGCTCTTCGATTTGGTCGTAATCATCTGTTCCACGCGATGCCAAGAATGCTGACAATCTGGTTGGATGTTAGCCAGAAGAAGGTAATTACATGAGATCAGATGAGACTTGGTAAATTCTGTTCAGTAGAGGTTCTGAGATTCTCAGTTTTAGACAGGAACGATGCAAACGCGAGGATCTGATGCTCGTTCTATTGAAATGAATCATCGCGACAACAACGATATTGCTCAAGTACTCAGAATTTATTGGATTCTTTTTTAATCAGTTTGCTTTCAGATGAACACAGAAATCTCGCGTGCTTTCCGACAACTGGACTCGTACACATTCTACACTGCTTTTCCACAACTTATTTCTCGCATCGTACATCCGAATTCCTCTGTTTTCACTACGTTGAAGGTAATCGTGGTTCCCGAATAGAATATCACAAAATGCCTGCCTCAGCACACGTAAAGCATCTACAGATGAGACTTCAGAAGACCGTCGTGTAAATCTCGTCATAGGACAGCGTAGGGGACTCGAACCCGCGAGTATGCGTGCGATAGTCTGGCGCGTTAACCACTTGACTATAGTGTACAGTTGATAATAGAATTGCCTGCGACTACGGATAAATGCGCGCTATAGAAAAAGATGGATGAGAACGAGCATTGTGCGATAGAAATAGGTTATGCTCCACAAGATCTGCACTTCATTCAAAGTCATTATACCCCTGTCCGAAATCAAAAAGTCTAAGTCTTTCTTTCTCCTAGCGCCGGTTGCCATAATACCCCGCTAGAAAAGAAGTATCGAGAGTTTTTTTAGAACAAAGTTTTTTTATCTATGATTGATGTGCTTTTTTTTCCAGGCAATCCTAGCTGACCTCATCTGTAAGTATCCTCATCAATGTTTATGGCAATCAATCGCCGTGTATCGTACCGTTCCTTGGCAAAAGAATATCCGACAAGAGAGGCACTCATTTTCATTGTATTATTTCAAATAATATGGTCAAGATTTCTTGCTTCAGATGTGCCCAAGTCTTTGCGGTAGTGAAAAACAAGCGTCACAATATGGATGTGTTGATTGATCAGTACGACTACGTTGCGTCAATACTCATTGAGTTCGTTTTTTTCAGTTTGTCCGCAAAGGTTTATTAAGATACTATGTTGGTTCTGTCAGGACGCTGGTAAATTGACATGAAAAGTTTTTTCTTTCGATACTTCATAGATCACAAATTGACCATTTCTGATTGTGTCTACTCCCTGTTGTAAAGTTGATGCCTTTCAGATTGGCGGAAAAGAAGATCAAAGCCTGTGGATCTTTCTCTGATTTGCCGAAAGTGGCTCCTCGTTTGCATAACTTTTTCGAAAGGGGAGAACTTTGCAATGATCTGCTCAGTAAGGAATTTGAGAAAGCAAAATTGAAATCTTCGAAACTTCTTTTCTTTCAGTGGGAGCAAAGGAAAGAGGACTATCTGGAATGCGTACCGTAACGCCTACGGTCATGATTCCGCTCACAGAAATGTTGGAACATGCATTACCAAAGGACTTTTCCGATAAGGTTTGGTCATAGATGGATATTCAGTGATATAACTGGATATTCAGTGATATAGCCTTTCAGCGCTAAAAGGTTCACTACAAGCTTTCAAGGTTCTTGAGGATAGTCACTTCACTATCTTCATAACAATTTAAATGTTCATTTAAGTTACCTCAAAAGAATTGGTCATGTTTACTGAAAAATCATCTCCAACTCTCTGGCTGTGAGCAGAAGATTTTCTTTTCAGCTATATCCAGCCAATCCAGCCATCTGGCTGTCCGTGCTGGAAGTCTAGTCCGTGCTTCCAGTCTATTGTACCATTTTTTTTTGTCTTTTTGACAATTGTGGGCATGAGTAGTGTAAACATGCAACTTCGAATTTGTAAAACTCGTTTTCCAAAAGTTAGTCCGCAGCTTTACTTTAGCTTTCCCTTTTCTTGTCTCATCATTTTATGGTAGGGAAGAAAATGCCTCTAATTGAGGGCATGGTGTTTACGACTTTTTTCGGAAATTCTTGGAATGGTACCGTCTGCTTTCTGAAGGCTTTAACATTCTGCGAAGTGCAATCGTGACTCGTGAAACGAAAGATTGATCAAAAACAGCTGAATCCCAATGGAATTTTTCCAGCAAAAATATTCGCGTATGCTATCATGTAAGCCATGATGTTTGAAGTGTGCTTGATGCTAATATATGACAACTCTGTAAAGTTCAGTAACAATGAATAAAAAGCAGAACCTAACCCAAGAACCCTCTCTCCTACCAAAAAAGAACCGAAATAGTGTGCATGCAGAGGCACAAATCCATTTCAACTGTAAGACATTACTAGCTTTTAAAATAAGATGTAATTCAACTCATTATTCAAAGAAACAAAGACAAGTTCTATGTATCCAAATGTACATGGTTGATGGTTATGGTGGTAACAATAGCAATTTCTCAGTCATATTTAGGTTTGCCAGTTTTCACAATTTGTGATGGACGCATCCACACCCGCTGAATCGCCCACGGAACTGCCTGAAGTGTTCATCTGCAGTGTAGACCCGGAATATTTGGTAGGATTTGACCTGTGCAACAACTTCTGTATATCATAAAAAATACGACCCTTGGCTCCAGGTACTGAAATCTATGCTGAGACCTAAGCGCATCGCACTTCGAGGTGGTGATGGTCGCCGATATCTTATTATGTGCAAACCAAATGATGAACTGCGTAAAGATGCTCGTTTCATGGATGTTAACAGAGTAGGTCCCTTGCGGCGCTTTCATTTCTATCTTATTGTAACTGCATCAAATTATTATATCATAGGAAAAAGTATCGTTTTGTTATCATGTTGATTTACATGCAGAAAACTAAAAAATTGCACTCCTGGAGCAAAGTTTCATTCGCTGACTTTGTATACTTTAGATGATGAACAGCTTGATGAGGCAAAATGCAGACGCCCGCAGACGACAATTGTTTGTTCGCACTTTCAGCGTTATTCCACTACAGGTAGGGTTGCCCGGGTTGTTACCGATGTGCAAGAATTTTTCTTTATCAGTAGCGGCATGCACGTGTGCGTGCATGAAGGAGAGATCCACACTTCACATAAGCAGTTATCTGTCTAGGTTCGGTTCCACTAAATTTTTTTCAATTAACCAGAATTTTTCAAAACTCAAATCAGTCAACAAAGATATCCCCATCATTCCTCTAAACAGAAGAGGTTTTCTATGTGCGTTTTTGCACCGATTGAAAAACCAATTGCGAAAAAAAGTCTATGAGTTGTTTTTTCATGAACGACATATTTAACTATCTGATTTTGAGCTCATACTGATTTTCTGCATATGTCCCCATCTTGAGACTCTACAAGTCTCAAAATAAAGCATACGTGTCCCTAGAGAAACAATAGATTTTTTGCTGGTGGATCCATAGAGGGTTTGCACGAAACATCTCTTCTATGTTGGTCGAAGTTGAGGCCCTATGATATGAAATTGTTATGATTTTTGAGATTCAAGAGATTGGCATATTTTGGAAGGAGAAATCAGACCATAAAGTATATGACATAGTTTAGCGCTTGTGCACTGCATGTTTCGGAAATAGAAGCTGGTGAACATCTCACATAGACGCATGTTGTCCTGAATTCATCTATATCTGGATGATTTTATCAGAAAAAATTTTTGATTATTTTTCTAATCCTCATTTTTTCCATTCCCAAAGACTCTGTTGTTCTTGTATAGTCAGCTTGACCTAACCCTTTATATAAGCGATTAATGCAACGAAAACTGACATGTGGTATGAGACATCTTGTAAACTCTATTACCCATGACAAAAATCACTGCTGCAATCACCTACAGAGATAAATTCAATCTAATGGTACATAACGTCATAAATACACTTCGCACTGTAAACAAACAACAAATAACCATCACATAAACAAATTACACGTATAGTAGGCCTTAACAAGATAATAGTAAGGAAAGACTATGGTCACTTATGATTTTATGGTCATAACTCATTTCGAAGTCTTTCGAGTAACAATTGTCTCGCCATTTTGCTAAAAATAAGGAATTTTGTAGAGATAAGAGCGTTTCAATGAGCTACATCATTTTGTAATGACTTAATCTTTATATTGCTGCTTACATCTGCTTTTTTGTCGATTTTTTACATGATCTACAAAAAGTATGAAAGAAAGATAATCTAGATATCCATCAAAATTTTTTTCATAATCTTATTTGAGACTGCCGCCTCGCTATTAGAGCTAACGCTTGCCATGAAAGGGATTGCGGCAGTCATGCGTTGAAAAGATGTTCAATGAACAACTCATCTCAGATATCACCGTGAATGTGAAAACTGTTTTTGAAAATTAGAACAAATTCTGCAGTGCAACCCTTTTAGTATCTTTAATATTGCATCCATTGCTACAAACATTTTCGAAGGCTAAAGTGGTGCTATTTTTTCTAACTGCACTCAAAACCGGAATTACCTGTTTTTCTCGTTCCAGCTTTAACCTTTCGCGCTCTAGCGCTATTGTCTCTCGCTCCAATTGCACACGTGCTAGATCTTGCTTGATATTGAATAGTTTCAGCTCCTCGGCATACTGCTCCTAAATTTCTTGAGTTTAGGAAGCTGGAGGAATAGTAGAGTGGGTTCCTAATTTGACCCCCTATCGCGGAGTACTTCAGCCGCTATTTGAGGAAAAAGGAGACCCGCTACCCGATGCTCAATGGTATAATAAACTTTTCTGTTTGTTATATGATGCAAAACTCAAGCTTATAGGTTTGCAAATTGGAATGCAAGTAGTAGTTTGGAAGATCGCCTCGAAAAAATGAGAACATTTTTCTATCGTCGTTACCCGCTAGTCATGGCTGAATGGTTTCGGTGAGTTCAACTCGTGCCAAGTTTTATAACAGTTCTTACTCCTGCTGTGCAAAAATTGTTGCTTCTTCTTACCTGTCGGGCTCTTTCTAGCTCGAAACGTTCTCTTTCCGTTGCAATAGTTTCCCTTTCTAGTTGAGCTCGCGCCAAATCATTTTTGATCACTATTAGCTTCAGCTCCTCTAATGCCAGCTGTTGACGTAGCATAGACAACTTGATCTCTTCTTCGTACAACTGCTCTCTTCGATCAACAGAAGGTCCGGGTTCTGTTGATTCTGCTCTACTGAAAGTTTTAACTTTGTTTGAGATCTTTTGAAAGTCTCTTTTGACAAATCTGATGTAAACAATTGAAACTGCGCGACTGCCATTCTGCTGCAAGAAAAAGCAGTGAACGGGTTGTCGGCAAAAGGTCTTTTTCTACAGTTACAGATTTGTTAGTTAGTCCTCCGTAGTATCTTTCAGAACCTCCTCAGCCATAAACAAACACAAAAAATCCTTTCGAACTCTTTGTATTTTTTTTGAATGCGAAAAAGAAAGAGAAAAAGTAGACTTGAAGGTTGTTGCAAAATCTGAAACATCCACAGCAAATGAGCAATAAAATGGCTAGAAATAGAGGGTTTTTGAATCCTCATCAATGGCTGTGGCATCTATAAAAAGAAACTTCTTCGTTGGATACAAATATCTGTTTTGGCACTTTGTAGAAAATTGTCCTTCTTTTATTGCTATGGGACCGTTCTTTTTTTCGTACTGAGCCTTATTATCACAGCCCATCGAGCATACAATTGTGTGAACACTTTGCCTCTGCTTTATCACGACGCCAAATGACTGATAAGAAGCATTCAAAGGGTGAACTCTTTTTCCAAAGTGCACGTATATGATCCCAAATTATACTGGGCAAAATTGGCAAAATTGACAAAGAGGTATTGAAAGGGATGCTCATAGTAGAAGAGATATTTCACGAAGGCAAATTTCAAAAACAAAATTGCTGCTTTAGCAGGCAATTTTTTGCAGGCAACTATGGACCTTTGTGGTTGTTTTTTTTTCGACTGTTTACCGATTTGATACAGTCTGGGTAATCTCCAGCAATGCTAGGTTACTAGCTAAACAGAGATGCGAAAAAACTTACGCCGCTCTGACATATCTTCGAGGCCCCCTCCTTTGACTGGGTGTAGTCGATGTGGGAGCAGTTTCATCCATAACATCTTCCTCCGTAAAAACTTCACTTGATTGTGGTTCTCCTGATGGACTGCCATCTCTTGGAGTCATCATCTCCTCCTTAACCTAATATGGTTAATATAGTACAAGTTCCATGACAAGTTCTTACCTTGCCCATTGTGCCGGGTTGAGACATATCAAATGCAGATTCATCGGTGATGTCAGGATGGTGATCAAGTTCGAGGTCTTCATCGTCTAGAAAATATGAAAAATTTTAGCGCCATTTTATTTGTTATTTTTATGGATGGGCAGACTCACTATTTGCGCTGGCAGCACCATTTAGTGCAGCCCTATTTCTACGGCATTCATATAACTGATGCAGATATGACGGCAGACTGTTGATGACCGCCTCGTGCCCTTCATGAATTCGCGCTCGCTCAAATAGAATGCATCTTATAACAATCGATCACACAGTGAATGTTTTCTAAAATGTGTTTCGCTGGCGACGAACCTCATGCTTTCGTACACGTTTACAATCGGCTCGAAGACGTTCCTCAATCTGTTTTTCGGTACGCTGATAGAATCCCAAGTTCGACACTTCCTTAGCAAATCGTCTCAGCAAGGTTTTCTTGTCGTTGTGATGTTTTCCTGCTGAAGCGTAGATAAATTCACGCTTTATACGAGAAAGCGACTCTCGGAAACTCGTACATTCGCTAGTCTTTCCTCTTCCATGATATTCTTCATAGGAATCGCAATAGAGTTTCATGAGAAGTTTGAGCTCGCATTCGTGAAACGGTGGTGCTTTCTTGCGATCTTTCATCTGAAGCTTACGAACTCAGTTCGCTGAAGAAATATGTAGATTGTATCAGAACGGAAGAAGTGCAGGGAATCATGACGATTCAAGATTTGAGGGAAAAAAGACCAGGAACAAAGAGAATGATTTGAGAAAGTGACGAGAGATTGATGAGAGGTGAGCCTGAAAGAAAGTGCTTATGAAAACAGGACCATGATTTTTCGATGATTTTCTGTTGATGTGAGTGTTTTACATTGCACAGATTATGATTCTAAGTATTACATGTAGGTCGGTCAAAATTAGCGCTATATACATTTGAGTAATGAAGTGAATGATAACGAGCACGAGCATAAGGTCCATGTAATTGAGAATTTCTTACTTTACAGGAAGAGAATTGAGATACTCGAACCAGAGTGGTAGATCATAGATCACGCACTGGAGGGGTGCACTGCAGAAGGACAAACTCAAGTAGATCCTATAGTTGGGTTGTAGACGTTTTTGATCTTGGCTAACGCTGTCCCCAAAAGCCATGGCGAGAGCAACTAGAAGATAGGGCTCTATAATTTTTATTTACTTTAGTAGAATCAGGGAGTCTACCACGAAATCATGACATAGAGCGAATCTAGAGTAGAATTTTGTTAGAATGGAAGTTCTAAGTAGATCTTTCGTATGAAAACGCTTAGGGTAGCCCATTGGACCAATGTAAAAGAGCGAAGAGGTTAGCAGACCGCACACGACGGGCAGCGGTCGATTCATGAGCGAAGAGGGGCGGCGGGCGACGGACGGGGGGAGGCAGACCACGGGCCGCGTAACCCCGTGGGTCACGGGGCCCCTGCAAAAGTGCGAATCGATATCGCTCCGAGTAGTTCATATTCATGCGTCGGCCTCTGTCACAACAATGATATGAGCCTGGAACGTGCAAACTAACTTAACCATATAGTTAGCCTGGTATACAAGCGGGGTTTTTTGTTAGGTTCTAAACCTATCGAGATTCTGGAGAAGTTTCAAAAGGAAAGAAATCCCAGACAGTGCGAACACGGTGTGTTCGGCCATGTGACGTGTGTTCACGGCGTAGCATGCAGGACGGGGGGCAGGGGCAGACTGGGGCTATTCAAACCCAATCGATTGCGAATGTGAGTGTGTGTGAGGGGGGGGGTGTGCCTGTGTGGCTGTGTCTGGGGCGACCACACCGTTGGTGGGTTTAGTCGTGTTCACAAGGACGACCCTGATATCGATGGCGCTGCGAGGCATGCCAGCCCTCGTCGGCGGCCCCCGTTCCGTTTTCACAGCCCGACTTCAGCCGGCTGGCGAGAGATCCGCGGGGGTAGAGTGAGGATCAAGCCGCTCAAGCTGCGGTTCCGTCGACGGCATTGGAGAACTAGCTTTTTATGGCTCGGAGGCAACAAAACTTTTGTGAAGAACATGGCTAGTACTCTCAAAATTGGGTTTAGGCCTTGGTTTGATCGTTTATTTATAAATCCCAACGAAGCTGCTAATCAATCTCATTGACAAAAAGAATAGGCAAAGGGGTTTTCCAGCAAGCGTCCCAATCTATCCACACGACTCGAGTAATCTAATGGTTAGACTGAGTCAGTCAGTCGTTATCATTCTTCCCTCTTTCCTTCTTTTTAGTGAAAGATGAAAGGAGTAGAGATCGAGACACAAGTTGAACTTTGGCAGCGTCGACGCTATGAAGATATTTTTGCAGAAATCTTGCAAAAGTTGCACTTGTACCACGTCTACGTTCTCGGCTGAGCACGTATCTGTCTACGTTGGGCAAAATAGGGTTGATAGGTCTCGGGTCTAATGCATATATGAAGTTGCCTATTCTTGTCGAAAGATCGGCTTAATAAGCTATGAAATTTGCATAGCGAATTTGTTGTGGGCGTTTGTTCAAATTAGTAGACATATGGAATTTCGAACTTAAGCTGTCGTGTTCAACTTGTGAAGTATATGAGAATGGAATAGGTGAAATTCTACATATACCTACTGAAGATAAAGCAGAGGAGCGTTAGACGCTGTATCATCTGGAATTCGGACCTCCTGTGACCTTCCATAGACGAACTTGAGAAAACACGTGCTGATTCGACTAACATGTTGAATCCCAAGCTAACTCATTACCGAAAATCGAAGGGAAAACGTGTTCAAGCTTGCCAGGCAATACGAGTGCCTTTTTCGGGGTGTAGGCCCTTTTGAGCCCTTCGCGCGCGATGTTCATTTCGCCGCATGCGGCGCCGCTGGCGAACAAGTCGCATACAGTCAACGGGGAAAATTCTTAGTTTGAAGCATGTAATATACCTGTGCCAAAACCTATCATCATGTTGGACACGAAAGATGTACAAAAATGAAGAGTATCAACTCGTTATGGCAGTGGGCATGTTGACAATCAGAGGCGCGCCTTGACAGCGAGCAGTTCAAAAGGGCCGTTTCCCCCTTTTACGGAATTTCTAATCATGGGGTCCTTGGAAATAACACGAGATTTTTCGAGGGCGACATGCTTGATGGGGGATGTCAAATTTTTCCATCACTTAAATGTCAGTCCTTGACATATTGCAGTTTTTTGACCGTTTTTCTACAGCTAAGGGTAATATGTTTGACTCTATAAATCCTTTCTAACTACTTTCTCATTAAAGTTATCAAAAATGCTGTATTGTGTCTGTATCCTTTCATAATTTTTTGAATACCTTTAGCAATTCGTAAAAGTACTACGCACAAATCCAGTGCAGAATCGAAATCAGTCTGTAGCCATATGCTATTTGTATGGAATAGTTGTGTAGGAACGTTTCTCCGCTTTTATAGCGTGAATTTTGCAATACGGAGCGATATTAGCCGCGATTTATGGCGCACTGCTATCTCTGAACTCTCTCCTAGTTGTGGACATTGTTTGCGAATGCGATAGTAATCTGAAAGGGGTGCGATATCTATTAGTTATTTTTAGTCTTTGAGTTTTGCGCTCGCACAATAGAAAAAATCTAACAAAAAAATCATTATGAAAACAATCTAGAAGCGTTGATTTTCTTCGTGTCTTATCCATTTCTGTAGGAACTCTGAGATAATCTTAATATATCTTTTTACGATTTTTTTGCATCTGTGGAGACATTGTTGTCAGCGCTATGGTATCATTTTTCTGTTGTTTTGGCATGTCCCAGACTTTCCGACATCACCTTCAAAAGCACAGCAACGCATAGGGTTCTATTTTTAGCCGTCTCATAAAGAGAGGGACATTTTGGGCGTACCCAATAATCGCATCCAATATGACATCCTCAAATTTTTGTTCATAATTGAATTGCTTTGAAATATTCTTTATCGCCGTGAAATCCACGTTTACGTGGAAGTCGAGGTTGAAAACCTAACAAAGTATGGTTTCTATACGTCCAGCTCTCGCATTGTGCTTCCCATGTTTCTGAATAGAAAATGGACAAAATGCTACACATAAGGACATCACCGAGCCATCAGTACTGCATGATTGGTTTCGGTCTTTGCTATGACTAGACCTTCGCTGTCTAGCAAAATATGACTTCGATATTCTGAATCATTATTTGTAGTACGAAAAAACGAGGCTAGTGTAACCATTTTGCGGCGTCAGTCATCGCTGTATAGCGCTCGGCACCTTTAAATACAATAGTTTCGCACGTTCGGTGCCGTTTTTGAGGGAAACTCTGTCGCTCGTAAAAGATACTTTGATTGCAAGGTTGCACGCGTTGAATTGTACTCGGTCGCGCACATTATTTCTTCCGTGGTCCGTCCATTGACCACTTATCAAAACTTGTCCGAATAAAATGTCACAGTAGTGGTATCGATATTTGTCCCATCATTGTACTGATAGGTCAGAACAGCCTTGTAGCAAAATTTTTTGGAATATTTGTTTGAAGATGCTTAATCAGACGTTTCGAATTGTACGGCATTTCTTCGTTGCACTTACTAGGTTGGTGCGAAAATTAGTTTGCCGCTATCTCAAAAATTATGCTTTCTTCTCATAAGGAACCCTATATTTTTATTTGAAAGAAGAAATCATGCATACTACGCATTACTCTGCTATAGATCAGTATGAGAAAGTTTGAGTGTTAAAAGCAAGTGGAGAACTTCACTTTTGCAATCAGATGCTCAAAAAAACCTGAAAATGTCGTAGCGAAACCGAAACAGTCATAAATATGGGTTTTATGACCTCTAGACCTCTAGGTGAGCAAAAATCGCGCTAACCAGGAGCAGATTTGATTTTCATGGGTTTTTTGGATTTTCGTCTGCTTTCTCCACGTTTTTCTGAGCGCTCAAAAATTGCAAAACAGGAGTAATTGTCTTCATATGCTTCTACCTCTCAAACTTCTACATATTAATTTACGCTAAAGGTACTAGTCTAATAAGCAAATTTTTCGCTCCCGAACAAAAATACTTTCAGAATTTTTTCGTGACCCTGCTTGAAAAAGCCAATTTTGAGTGATTCCCATTGATTGCTTCTAATTTTCGAACTTTTCCATACTAATTTATGGTAGATGTAATGCTATCAGCATGGTCTCCTCTTCCCAGTAAACTAGGAAATCAAGATTGAGATGAAAGGAAGTTATGATTTTTTCAAAGCGGTGAACGAACTTTCGGACAACCTGATATAAAATGAGTCTTAACATAAATATGGTTAACTTTCTTCGTCTTCCTATGGAAGACTGGGAACTTCCGGAATTAATTACAAGGGAATGGTCAGAAATCGAAGTGCCCAATCCAAACAAGTTGCATACCACTGGATGCAGCATAAAACGCTGACTTCAGTTCCATCTTCCTTATCTGCTTCGCGCTTTTGTGGACGAAGTTATAAGCCGTTTCATTCGAAAAAATTGTATGTAAAAATTGCAAGAATAAGCACATTACGACCACCCGTTTAGCTCACGTTTGGGTACAGGCTAAATAAAGCGATCTTGCTGCATGTCTTGGCCCACCATTGGCCGGACATGGCGCACGGCCAAATTTGGACTTTGCACGCATGATTTCTTAGTAATATAATGGCTCATAATATTATAAGAAATCAGCACAGAAATGATAAGCAGATAAGGAAGACAGATTCAAAGTCAGCGTTTTATGCTGCATCTGATGGTATGCAGCTGTCTGTAACGACACTTCTTTCTTCTTTCTCTTCTTAGGATCTCTCATTCTTCATCATTGTAGAAGTTTAGGCTCCATGGTAGCACAAATTGCCAAATTAATTCGAATTAGTTCTAAAAATCAAAAGTTACTCCAAATTTCATATGGAGTAATCCTCATGTGTAACATATATATATTTATATATAATATATACAGGGTGTCCCAAAAAAATGTATCGAACGTTTGATCGTTGATATCTCCCTTCTAAAAAAGTCTTTTCTCTTGCTTCAGAGACCATTCTGTAGAGCTGGCTTCAACTTAGATTTGCATTATAGAACGAATCACTCATTTCTCTTCATTATTGTAGGATTACGGTAGAAACTTCAAAGAGGGTTTCAAGCAATGAATGGCCATATTTTGCCTCAGAAAGGAAACAAAACAGCCTGAGAACTTTAACACTAAGCTAATTAGAGTTGCTGATTCCAATTGTAAAGTTCCCAACTTATTAAAATGCTTCATTGAAGAGTTATGCCAGGCAAGATGTAGCGGCCATTTTTTCAATGTTCCTAAAAAGTGCCGTTACACCATTTAGAAAGCTTCGCAATCTTATGAATAGTTGAGTATTGAACTCGGCGTCCATAAAAACCCTATTACACAAGTTTTCACATTTTTTTGAAAGATTTTGAAATGGCAGCTTTTTCCACATTGACACCATATGTTTCAAGTTCCTACCGCAATCCTACAGTATGAAGAGCGGTCAATGATTCTCTTTATTCTGTAACTCTAATTTGAAGCCAGCTCCACATCTAAAATTGCTTGTAGGAATCGCCCATTTGTTTATTAATTTTTAAAGTATCTAGTATATGTGGTGTTCTGTCTTTTATATCAGGAGTTACTTAACAACATCGAATTTGGAAAAAAAAAAGAAATCTGAAAAATGTAATCGGCTCCCAGATTCATGTGAAGGTGGGTTGTGGACTTTCCCTGATTATAAGTATAAACTTAACGCAAGAATACGAAGAACAATGCCGCAACGTGGAGGTCAACAAGTTTGTCCTTATATTCAAAGAAAGTCCGCAATCCGCCTCCACACGAATCAGGGAGCCGATGATACAGCTTTCTGTAGAGTTTTCCGTCAGCACGAATTTTTTTTACGAGTGTGGAAAACTCTCTTTCTTAATACTCAAACCTCAAAAGAGTGAAATAACTTGTTGGACTTTTTATAATTAGTGATTTTATAGCGAAATTTGAAATAAAACGTAAATTGTTTGCCTTTTTCAGTTTTATCGCCAGAAGAATGGTTTGCTCAATACATCATATCAAACGACCTCATAGACATGGAGGAGAGTATGAATCCTCAGCAATTTTGGTGCAAGAATTATGTTGTAACCTATTACACACATACTATTGCGATTTTCTAGCAGTGATCATTACATTTCCATGGCCTCGCTATGTAATCAGATACTATTCTTGCAATGAAAACGCACGGATTGTGACCATGGCAACAATATGTAATAGAAAACCGGACTCTTCCAAGAATAGCGATGAATCAGAAAAAAAAGCTCACGTTTTGCTACGATGGGTTCCGATGTCGGGCTGTTATGTTCTTGACACAAAGTTGGGTAGTCAAGAGATTGTCTGGTTACCATCGAGTAGAACAGCAAGTTTCACATTTTCACATCCACACAAATTCAGAATCCCTACGGCGCTAAAAATAGATATTCGCTTCGAAGAATCCTGCAAATCTCTTATTTAGTCACCGTAAAACACATCAGACATTTATACATGCACTTGCTAAACTTTTTCAGGAGGATTTCAAGAAATGAGGGTGTGGAATGGCAACCGCCTCCAGCGGTTTTGCGCTGCTCGCCATAGGTCCAGTTGTGAATTTTTTCGTTCTAAAGGCAGTCGCCCCAAATTCAGACTTTTGCTTTTACTTATTTCCCAAGATTTCACTTTCATGGCACTGATTTGGACTATCTTGGTACAATCATTTTTTAATTCATCAATTCTGTTTTTCTTGAAACTCGCAATCTGAAAGTCCAGTATATCTTGACCATTTTGACATTTATCTGTATAACGACGAAAAAATGTCATTACAGACGGCAATTCTTGGATCCATCAGTATGGTATGCAGCTCGTCTGGCTTATTCTCGTTCGTGTGCAGTAATGTCAATGATTGGATTTGTGCTTGGACTAGGCAAGCAGCTCTTCTTGTTTCACTTTATCATGAAAGCGGACTTTGTTGCAGGAGATCGACATGGAGAAAACATTTTGATCGATGTCACCGAGGGATGCGTTGTTCATGTCGATTTCAATTTGATTTTCCACAAGGGAGAGTATCTACCGGTTCGAGAGGTGTGTTACATTAGAAAAGCCTTTCTTTGTATTTGCATTTTAAGAGGAAATTGTTTCATACAACTCCTAATCTTTCTGTTAGCTGAGAGACCCTTTTCACTGAGTATTCAACGGCCTCAAGCTCAGCTGTCACACTTTTCTAAAACATACCCTTCGGTCTGGAACTCTAGATATGCAATGATTTTACAAACTGTTCTGGATTTCGTACATAGTTCAAAATCTGACAGGGTTGTGCTAGCCATCTTATTGAAATGTTTCACAGATTTAATTTCTACCATATTGGGCTAATGTGAACGCACTAGCAATTCACAAAATTTTCCAGATTAAAGATGCTATAATTGGTTTTCTATGGATTATATCATCGACCAATTATTGTGGTACAAGGTTCAAATCAAACACTTTTAATACGCGCAAAGAGGTTGTAGCTGTCCTACCCTTTTTCGAAATATAAATTTGGCAAAGTATCGTCTTATACCGTGATAGCGATAAACCTCAGCAATTGGACTTGCGTTCGGTTCACTAAAAGGCTTGTTCTAGTCGTACCATCACTTGAGTTTTATGAAAACCCGCACAAACAATAAATTACCAAGTTGGATTTGCAATTTTGCACTTTTCTTACTAAAATCACATCACACATCTCGAGAATGCCGCCACTTTCTTTGGTTGTGATTATCAGATTTTTCCCAAAAGCTGCGAAATGTGGGCCTCTAAAATTTCTTGACTTGGATTTCGGTACTGCTCAGAGTCCTCAGAGTGCATCAACACTGTCCGGAAATCCTCTTTTCCTTAAAATCTAAACCCTAAGTAGTTTTGTGTCAACTTTTACTTGGCTAATGCTCAGTGTTTTTATTTTCCCTTGGAATCACCAAAGAGCTAGTAAGGGGAGTCCTGAGAAAATCCTTCTAGTGGAACAAAATGAAGAAAAATATGACTTCCAAATACTCTGCACTGGATATGTTTTATCAAGCTTTTAGGTCGTACCTTTTCGGCTGACTCGAAATATGGTGAATGGTTTCGGACCCACAGGAGTTGAAGGCTCTTTTCGAAGGTCGTGTGAATCAACCTTGAGAGTGATGAGAGAAAATAAAGACACCCTATTGACTGTAAGTTCGTTTGCACTCCACACCACATATGGCGTTGATGTTCGCTAATGATACACAGGTTATTCAAACATTCGTTCACGATCCTTTGCTGGAATGGATCAACACGGAGGCCAGAGCACAGCAGAACAGAGGGGTAAGTGCGAATGGTGCTTGAGCTCTCAATCTTTGGAAAGGGTGAAATGGCTTGAGTTTTTAGCGTGGACAGCAGAAAGTAAACGCTCCATCGACAGAAAGTGTGCAGCTGATTCTGAAACGACTTGAAGGTCACATCGTCTCACCGGAGGTTAGTTTCGGCCTTGATTGAGAGTTCGCCGCAAACAAGATGTTTGGAGAACGAAATCCGCCATTAGGCGCAGCCCGGATACTGGTCCTCACACGCCGCAGCGGTGTGTGCTAAATGACCGGGGTCAGTGGAGGCCGCATTAGCGGAGTTCGTTCTCTATCCACCACAATTATTGTATAGAAATTTTGCATAACTGTCTGCTTGACTGCTACGCGATACAGCTGTGCTGCAAGCTATGCTTTGTCAAAGGGCCCTTCTTTAGACGCTGTGTCCACCAACTGGTGTTTACCCTAGCATTGGGATTGAATGATTTGAATGTTTGATCATTCCAAACTTAAGTGTCATCCGCCTTCAGCTGATTTTTTCCTTATGAAAATTTAAGCCACACAAAACTTGTTTTGAAGGGAAAACACGCAGTTTCTTAAAGGCAGTGTCCGGGCAAAAAGTCGATTTTGAGATTTTGTGCTTACCAGGGCCTATTCACTATGCTGAATCCGAAAATCCACATAGCGTGAAAACGGCAAAAAAGGGCTCTAACGCAGGAGAGAAATCGGAAGTGGGCGGGGTCCTCCCCATTGTGAATTTCGCAGTCCCAGCTTCTGGAGCGAATTTCCCAATTCTTCTGGAGCCCTGAGATCTTCACCGGCCAGGTGCGAATGCATGACTTGAATCGGAACCGAGAAGATCGCTCTGGAAGCTCGGAGCATGAATTCACAGTGGAGAGGACCCCGCCCACCTGCTGATTTCCCTCCCGTGTTAGAGCCGTTTTTCGCCGTTTTCGCGCTCTCCAATGTGTGTTTTCGGATTCAGCGTAGCGAAGAGGGCGGGGTAAGCAAAAAAAAGATCGAGTTTTTGCCCGGACACTGCCTTTAAGCCATGCAAGCAATCTAGGTTTTGCAGAAACTATTTTGAGAACAAGTTCGTTTGAGAGACATTCCCTTTAGTGTGTCCGCCTGCTATAATCTGATAAATGGCAAGAACACGTCTGTAATCAAAGTAATAGCCATTTAGCTAGACTGATAAGCGAAGATCGAAGTTCACCTGGGTTGCCCATAAGGCAAGATTGCATAATATGTATCTAGGCATTTCAGCTTTGGGGAATTGTTTACTTGAGAAGGCCTCAGTCATCTCAAAGTTGCATTCATTTCAAAGTCTTTGGTTGCTGTGCGCCAATTTTGAAATGTTGCCAAATATAAAAAACAAAGCTTTTGAGGAACTCTTGGATATTTTCTGTTTTCAACATGGCATTTTGATTTATTTTTCATTGCTACCGACTATTATCTAAGATTATATTCTTTCCCTTAACATATTCGTTATATGTAGGAAAAAAATTACAAATGGCATTTCTGCGTAGCCAGAAGAAAGATTGCTTGGTTCTGAATGTTATTCAGTAATTCTGAGCAGATCCTAATCTTTGTGGCTCTTTCGTTCTCGTTTTTTGTCACTCAGTTCACTCATTCTGACTTCGTCAGAGCAGTATCCACTAATAACCTGCATGTAATATCGAGAGGATAGTCTTATTCTTTTGATTCTGCGGTGAGATGTTTGAGCAGCTAACGAAGTTCTCAATTTAGGTATATAAGCACAAGTTCTCGTGCGCACCAATGAGCCTCGAAGGGCAAGTGGCGAAGCTGATTGATATAGCCAGTGATGAGAAAAATCTGGCACAGATGTATATCGGTTGGGGACCTTTCATATGAATGAACTCCATACTATTTTCTTTCGATGTACGGTTATCCTCACCTCAAAATTCTTGCTATACCGGTGATCTCTACTTGTACATGTTGTTGTCAAGTCCATAGATAAATTGTTATGAAGCTTTCCTTGTGTACGAACATCCATGGTGGCTTTGCGATAGCATGATGCTGTTTCTGCGGAGCTTGCCCCTCTGTAGAACGAAATCTTTCTATGGTGAAACTTCAGTGAATAAACATGCTCCACAGTGAACATAGCGTTTTGGAGATCTCCTATTCGTTCCTCCTATTGTCATGCTGTAAAACTCGTTGCTGCGTTTTGCAAAAGGTGAGCTTCCAGTTCAAAAAGTCTATCCGAGAAACTAAGAATTAAACAGAAATGGTTCGAGAGGAAAATTTACTAACTCAAATACGCGGTACAGCAAAAAGAGATCGACTGAACTCAATATGTTCGTTCTTGTCCAAACGGAAACCCCAGAAAGGGTTTTTGCAGAGAAGTTGCCATATCATGAATCATTTCTCGAAACCGTCTCAGAATATTAAAATATGAGATTATCCGATAATTTTGACGGAAGTTCTCACAGCGCCAAAATCAACAGAAATATTGTGTGTCATAGTTTTTTACGAAAATTTCAAAGACGAGGGTCTCACAAAGCTACAAGGCAATACAAGTGCATATAAACCCCATTCGAGGCACCGTTGAAGTTGGTGGTGGGAACTAATGCAATGCATGCCTCTTCTTCCACCCCACCATCCCCCCCCCCCCTCCTTAGACACTGATTAACTGCTCAAATTCCGCTGCTTGGACCTCCGGACTATCTCTGGGTGGCATTGGGGCTACGGTGTACTTGGGGGTATACTACCTGAAACTACCAAAATCTGACAGGGGTCCATTCTGCCGATCCACTGCCTTTAAAGGCAGCGTCCACACAGACATCCGAGCATCGAGGACCACGCCCACTTTCTCGCACGGTCAACCCCTCGAACGAAATCTCGTTTGAACATGGCAAACACGTTCGAACACCTAGCGTTTACCTGTTAATGTGCTTGCTTTCGACAAGGATAGCATCGCACTCGTTCGGGTTCTCACAAAATAGCCCCAAAAATGTGGTTTTTCGGGGTTCGCTCTTCCTGGATGTCATATTCGGAATCAGCGCCAAAAGGCCTGGATAACGTAAAAATACGGAAATCGAGAATCTGCCTGGACGCTGCATTCAAAGAGACGAAGCATAGTTTTTTTTTCCTAATGAACCCAGCTTTACACTCAACAATCGAGGAAGCCTCGAATACGTAAATGAAAATCTGAAAGCGGTGCCCCTAGCGCTTCCACCAAACACTCCGTTGCTAAGATGCGCTATAAATGGTACTTTCATCTTGACGAGAAATGCGCTCATTCTTCCGGTCAGTTTCAACATGAACTTTTTCCATAATATAATGAAAATTCGGCGCTATTCCACATTAGTTGACCCAATAAATGAAGATCGCGGATTTCGCTGAAACTTCGTCCAGAGCGGTTATTTTGCACGCTGATTACGAATATCACATTTATTTCACATGGTATTGCCATCCGGTGGAGTTACGGTAGGAATACGGTATTGGGTCAAAACCACGGACTTGCTCCAAACATCGTCTAGGGGGGATATTTGGCAAGCTGAACATGAGTATCATACTGATCTCGTACAGTAGCATCAATTTTTTGGGTTACGGTTATACGGTAGATGATTAAAAATCCCGAATTTGCTCCAAATCTTGTCTTAAAGGCAGTGTCTCACCAAAGTTGAGGTCGCGCGGATCTTCAAATATTCTATCATAGGAACCTCTAGATAGGCCATTGCAACAAGTCTCACTCAATTTCACCCCCTCTACGCTGAGAAAAATTCTCTCAAAGTGGTACGCGGAGAGCGATTTGGTACGCGCGGACGACTCCTTCGGTCTCCCCCCTTACGCGTTTGAACATGTCCCTCCACTTGCCATCCACCTCCCCTCTGTTGCTGCCACTGTGGCTGAGGCTGAAGTTGGAAGGTACAACTCGTCCACGTTGCTTCCGCGAGGCCTCCAGAAAACGGGTTTTTGGGAACTTCGTGCGATTTTAAGCCCATACAGTAGACAGGGTCCGGCAGGCTTGCAAAATGCAAAAATTTCGGCAACTAAATTTTGGTGAGACACTGCCTTTAAGGGGTCTTTAAGCATGCTGATTGCAGACATCATCGCTTGGTGCAACAATTATAAATGATAGAGTTACGATGCTGCAGTGCGTGAAAGAGCAACTTTTCCGCTTTACAACCAAATACAAATTCCAAAAATCCACGAAAAGGCTCTATCATGCGAAACTGCGATGTTCGAAAACAGCGTGCTTGGAAGCCCCTCCAAGCAAAGTTTTGAGCGAACTCGGGATTTTCAGCCCGGTAGACCACCGTAACTCGATAAATTGGGGCTACCTACCGTACGAAATGAATATGATTTTCATGTTTAGGGTGCCAGATATCTCCCCTATACGAAGTAGGGATAAATCTGTGGTTTTGACCTTTTACGTAATCCTACCGCTCCACCGGATGGCACTATCGTGCGAAATAAATGTGATATAATTATTCAGCGTGCAAACAACCCCCTTAGACGAAGTTTTAGCGAAATCCACGATCTTCATTTGGGTCAACTAATGTGAAATACTACCGAAAATTCTTTTCTCACATGTAACTATTTCACCGTATAAAAATTTCAAATACGTAAGAGTCAGTGTTGTACGAGAAATTTTTTGGAGGGATCGGACACAACTAAAATTTTTCTCGGATGGAGGTGCACGCATTTGAAAAATTTTTGGATGCTTCCAAAATCTTCGCCATAGCCCAGAAAGGTCGCGTGGTAGCCATGCCTCGAAAAGGGATCAGGAAAAACCTCCTTTTCTTTGAAAAGCTAATATAAATTCAAAAACTCGCAATTTTTCAGTTACTTAGGCGATTCATAGCAAGTAAAGACTGCTATAGGCCTCTCTCTGATCAAGCGCTCTTTCTTTTCTCTTACCATCTGCTGTCTCTCCCATGCACGAACTATGTTGGCCGACGCAACGGCGCCCAGTCTTTGTGTGTCAAGAATCGTCTATACAAGTGAAAACAAGTCACTCGCACATTTTATATAGGCTGCTGCATGGTGAAGGCGCAACATCTTTGGGCGCGAACGCAGCTTGATTAGCTGCGGAGCGCCAGAGGCGCAGGATTTACAACAGTGAGATACGCACGCGCTGCTCTCGCGCCCGCTCAGCTAATACTGCTTTTGCGCCTTCGCCATGCAGCAGCCTCCAATTCATAGTGATTTCAATAAATTCGGAACCTTTCTCCTTTGCCTCCACTCGGCTCCGCCACTGGAAAGATCTTCTTTGAGATAAGGGAGAGTGATGGCACGTCGCCATTTTTCACAGTTAAATTCTAGACTGCCCATTTGAGAAAGGGTTGCTAATCAAAATAAGGTTTTGTATTGCCATGTTGTTGACACCAACAAAAAAAAAAACGAGTACCATTACTTTCCCATCATGATAACAACGTTCCTAAGGTCAAACTTATATACTGGTTAATCAAGCTTCTGTTTTTTTTCTTCAAAATTTGCCTAACTGGATTTTGAACACTATGTGTCTGATAGATAATGAGTAGTAAAATTGAGTAACATAATTTCCCCCATATAAACTATCGTGATGGTACCCCATCACATACCCTAAAATCTTACAGATAGGTCCGCTTTTTTGACAAGAAAAATTGGTGAAATTGCACCCTCGCACCGCCAAATCTTGCAGATAAGTCCTCCCATCAGATAAGTCCGCCTACAGATAAGTCCTCACTTATCTGACAAGATTTCAGGGTAGTTATAATGGGAAGAAAACGGACTTATTTGTAGGCGGACTTATCTGAAGGGCCTTTGACTGATCGTGTCTCAAAAAAGTGGACCTATCTGAAGGCTGGCTTATCTGTAAACGGACGGACTTATCTGATGGGAGGACATATCTGTGAGATTTTAGGGTAATAAGCTTTTTTACAAATCAAATATTATAGTCCTGCAGAAGAGGGAGTGAATCTATTCCATACAAATTTATCCCGAAAAATGAAAAATTAGGAACCAAACTCTTGAATAAGCTTCCTAATCAGGTAGATAGAACTGCTGCACTAACTATTTGAGAAGTAAACCGCACCATCTCGCAAGATCGCTCGTTGGAGCATATAACATGACTTATGTACATTTTCAAGAAATGATCAAGCTATAGGTCTGAACACCACTTTCTCATACAAAAAAAGCCACACCATATTCTAGAAAAACCAGTTTACCCAGCAGTCGAGACCAAAACTCGCTAGTGTCGCTCCTCTCTGTCTCTCGCTCTCACTCTAAGTGACGTCAATGTAAATATGAAAAAAAGGCCACGCGCTGTCGCATCAGTGCAGCCACACACATTCCGACCGTAAATTTGATCGCGTTGAAGACCAATTTTGCTGGATAAAAGCCAACTACAGTCACAGGGCATAGATCACACTATATGCTAACAATTCCTCCACATTTTGACCATTCCCAACTAATCATCGCTACCGAGAAAGATCTTGCAGGCAGCCTCGCACGCCGAAAGAGGAAAACCACTCCCGATGACCTTGTTCATACCAACTATATCGAAAATCGTAGCCCAACCAACTTGTCTAATCTAATGCGAACTGTTTTATACGCTTTTCGTAGAAACAACTACACGAAATTCTAACCCGGCGGACTACCCCTGTATCACTGCATATCACTGCACTGTACACAGGAATCAATTTGACTTTACTGAGGAACAACTTGAGACTTCTTTTCACAGCTTGATATGGTTCAGAAATAATAAAGTTTGATCAGAGATGTATTAAGCACGAGAACAAGTATAATTTATAACAACAAAACATGAACACTGAGATGTTACTTCTTCTTGGGAGCAACTCCGGCCTTCTGGGCAGCCTTGGTGACTTTTCCAGCGCCTCCCTCTGACTTATCCACAGACTTGATGACACCGACAGCAACCGTTTGCCTCATATCACGGACGGCAAATCGACCGAGAGGGGCATAATCGGTGAAGGATTCGACACACAAGGGCTTGGTGGGGTGGAGCTCAACGATTCCGGCATCTCCGGACTTCAGGAATTTCGGGTTGTCTTCAACCTTCTTACCAGTACGACGATCAACCTGCAATGTATGTAATTTTTCTTGAGAATAAATTTCGACGAGGAGCGTCTAGAACTACCTTTTCCTTGAGCTCAGCGAACTTGCATGCGATGTGGGCGGTGTGGCAATCAAGCACGGGGGTGTAACCAGCAGCAATCTGTCCAGGGTGGTTCATGATGATAACCTAAATTTATTTACTTTAAATCCTTGATCCTGACGTAAAGCCGACTAGTGGTTCCGCGACTAACCTGAGCATTGAACGAACGAGCCTCCTTGGCTGGGTCGTTCTTTGAGTCCGAGCAGACGGATCCACGACGGATATCCTTTACGGATACGTTCTTGATGTTAAATCCGACGTTGTCTCCGGGTCCGGCCTCTGGGAGAGATTCGTGATGCATTTCAACTGATTTCACCTCAGTGGTGACGTTCTGGGGTGCGAATGTAACAACCATGCCAGGCTTGATGATTCCGGTCTCGACACGTCCGACGGGAACAGTTCCGATACCTAAAATGGAAAAATTTACTGGATAAGAGCCAAATCGAATTTTTTCTGCGATAGTACCCAAAGTACCGCTTCGGTCATTCAAGCTCCCAAGCAAACCTATAGGGTCTTAAGTATAGGACTATTTGTCGCCAACAAGAGAGATTCCCGGCGGACATCTGGAACAAACATTCACCTCATAAAGGTGCGCAATTCTGGCAGACGTCCTCGAGTGATCTCACTCTCACGCGACATGTAAACCTTTACTTCAGGGACTTAGGTCTAACCTATCACCCACCTCCGATCTTGTACACATCCTGAAGGGGCAGACGAAGTGGCCTGTCGGTGGGTCGCTGTGGGGGCACGATCGAGTCGAGAGCCTCGAGCAGGGTCTTGCCGCTAGCATTACCCTCCTTGCGTTCCACTTGCCATCCCTTGAACCATGGCATGTTGCTAGATGGCTCCAGCATGTTGTCTCCGTTGAATCCGGAAATTGGGACGAAGGCAACAGCCTTGGGGTTGTATCCGATCTTCTTGATGAAGTTCGAGACCTCGGTTTGGATCTCATTGAAACGAGCCTCGGAGAACGGTGGCTCTGTGGAGTCCATCTTGTTACAAGCAACGATGAGCTGCTTTACACCAAGAGTCTGAGCCAACAGAGCGTGTTCGCGAGTCTGACCGTTCTTGGAGATTCCGGCCTCGAATTCTCCAGTACCGCAAGCGACGACAAGCACAGCACAATCAGCCTGTGACGTACCTGAAATGGCGATTTTATCCTAATCATCTACGACGAAATCTGATAGATCTTACCAGTGATCATGTTCTTAATGAAATCACGATGTCCTGGGGCGTCAATGATGGTGATGTAGTACTTAGCCGTCTCGAACTTCCAGAGAGCGATATCAATGGTGATACCACGCTCACGCTCGGCCTTCAGCTTGTCAAGGACCCAAGCATACTTGAAGGATCCTTTGCCCATTTCTTGGGCTTCCTTCTCGAACTTTTCAATAGTTCGTTTGTCGATACCACCGCATTTGTAGATCAAATGTCCAGTGGTGGTAGACTTTCCAGAGTCGACATGTCCAATGACGACAATGTTGATATGTATCTTTTCCTTGCCCATAGCTGCAGAGCGGTACTGGTTCCCAACTGAAATGACGACATCATTGTTGTAAATGGTATGACGCCGAATGGGCAAAAAGTGCGACTCGTCTTATCAGAAAGTCAGAAAGTGCAACGGAAAGAAACGTTCGGTGCAAAGAACAATAAAGCACCAGAATGGCTACCAGAGACTACCAGAGTTCTAGAGAGTAACAAGACACCCGTCTACTTCAAGAGCAACCCCTTAACAATCTTAAAGCCCAAAAGACCCAAACCGCACCAACTCCAAAAAAGTGAAAAAAGTGTTGACTCGGAAATGACCAAGCACACAAGAACTTGAAGAACTCCAAAGCACACGAATAGCGCAACGGAGAGAGTGGCCTAAAAATTCGCTTTCCTCTCAAGTTGGCGGCGGCGTGCCACTAACTACCGTAACAAGTTCCCCGTCATTTTTAAACGGTATTGGCGCGAAAGCTCCGCTATGAAATTGCACGTGCATTCGGCATGAATGCTGGACCCCCTGCATAATTTTTGCTACGCGTAGGGTTTTCGGAAATATCTCGAGTTGTGGCCCGATTTTCTTCGAATTTTAGGTTTAGGAATGCCTTAACATAACTACAAAGCACAGTCAGTTTTGCTTTTGATAGAGGCGTGGGTCCTCGCCTGAAGATTTTATCTTCATTCTGAATAGACTTAGCAGTTTTAGTTGGTTCAATCAAATAGAAAGTGCAGCTCATTCAGTTTGGTTCATTCTCTGCAGATACAGATAATATGAATGACTACATTTGCTAAACAACTACGTGTTAAGCAAAGTCAATGGTGATTTTCGATGTTGCGCTGTTTTCAAACCTTTTTATTTTTCAACAAGATAACGGAAGCGTTTGTTGAAGGAAAGGTTTAGCTGAAGGTTTGAGAGCGTATTCTAGTTAATCTATTCTAGCAAGAAAGTATACGTATTGCAATCTTCCCTTCATCATCAGTAAGCTACATAATCTTCTCTTCTGAAACATTGTAATATCCTTTTTCTCGCTTACCTTTGAACACCTTTGCATATACTGACACAGTCTCGTTCAAGGTTGCGAATGGTAAGCTGACAAGGATGCAACGATTTGAAACCAACTGATGGAAAATTCAGGCCTTGTTGGTGCTGAGGCACCAGAGGAGGTAAATTACTTGACATGTTTGGTCGTTGGGTCTAGTTCCAAAAATGGATCCTGCTCAGGCTCCCCTTATTATGATAGTGCTGACGGCGAGCCATTTGTAGGAGTTACAGGCGATGTCAAAAACCTATTCCCTTTTGTGCAGTCCTCGATTTGCATGCACGCGCCGCAAATCCCGTGCGCCACGTGCGCGAGCGGACGGCAGAGCATTTTGCCAACTTCCACAGACGTCATCGATCGAGGGTTGGTAAGGGCCCAAACCGTACGCACGCGAACGGAGCGCATCAGCCTTGCGATGCGTACGCGTAAGAGCTACGGACTTGTGAGCTCCTCATTAACATGCACTGTATACCACAGAGGGGACGAAAATAACAAATTCGCTATTTTAGCGAGGGCAATCATTCGAAGTGTTTCTACCGAACTTGTAGTGGTCCGCATGGCGGAGGCTTTTTTGAAGGGGCTTCGTATGTGCGGTATCGGGCTCGCTTTCAAAGCATGTTTCAAGTTAACTTGGTACATGGATTTCTTAAAGGCAGCGTCCAGGCAGATCTGGACTTATGGGGCTTTTACGTGGAAAGTACATTTGGGGCCCAAACTGAGCCACTGCCCAAGCGGCAGCTCAGGTAGTGCTCTAATGGCTGAGATATTCCCCTCGAAACTGGCCCCCGCGAACGTATTCGCATGGATTCATGGCAGTTTCGCGCCAGGATCCACGCTTTGCGCCATGAATCCATGCGGATCACGGTCGCGGGGTCCAGTTTCGAGGGTAATATCTCAGGCGTTAGGGCACTACCTGAGCTGCCGGTTGGGCAGTGGCTTAGTTAGGGCCCCAAAAGTACTTTCCACGTAAAATCCCCATAGGTCCAGACTTGCCTGGACGCTGCCTTTAAGCGAGCGAGAATTGCTGGGATCTAGAATAAATGCTGCAGCTGATATAATCCTTTCGGATAAGGAATTCGACTCTAACAATAAGCTCTTAGTCAGTGCCAGTGTTTGGCCGATTTGAAGTACCATGTTGGGCATGTTCAGAGTTGCAATTTTTGGCGAAAATGTGTTATATGAACTCGGGCAATGGCTTACTTGTTAGTTCCCAGTCATTTTCCACGTAAGAAGATCATGTATCCAGATTTACCTCGGAATTGATTCTGAGATTGATCACTTAAACTCCTACCTACGCATCACAAAAAATTACCGTGAAAACGAGCTTCATACCATGTAGTATATTAGCTCCCCTCCCTCTATTCCCACTCCCGTGGGCTTTGTTTGAAGGAAAGAATGATCTCGAAATTTTGGGAGGAAGTCACAGATTGCTCTATTGACTTCAAATCACATGTAAGGAGAAAGGACCCTCACAATTCCTGATTTCAGTGGCCTCAGAATGGATCGTTCGTCTATGTTTCGAGTTTTGAGATGAATGCGCTCAGTCCAACAGCCATCTCAGCTCTTTGTTTTGATCCTTATGAGGAGCTTCTCTGGTGTGGCAATTATAATGTGAGACAGTGAATACTCTATGCCCGCTCCATTCTCATGAGTAAAAATTTGATTCAGGGACGGATAGCATCATTCTATGCTCCGTCATTCGAGCGCTACACGGCGGTTTGTGCTACAAATGCTGAAATTCGTGCAATGGATGTCACCGAAGAGCTCGTTCTATCGCTGTCGCCCGCTGAGCTCAAGGCTAATACTCGTCATGGTCTAGTTTCTTTCTCTTTTAGGTAGATAAAGGTTGCAAAATGTTTGATATAAGAATAAAATGCTTGTTTAGTTCGCAGTCGATGCAAAATCTTACCTCCATGCGAAGGCTACAAACTACATCGTCAATGTTTTTGGGTGGAGATCAAAAGAAACTTATTCAGTTCGATTTCGAGAAACAAAAGGAAATTCGGGTGGTCAGATTTTATCATGTTTCTCCTTAGAAGAGACGCATTTTGTGGTCACATCGAATCACCTGGTTCGATTGATCTGCAGATATCTTGAATTACTATGATGACCAACGACATAAATTATTGTCTTTTCTTCTCGCCGAAATATATTTGGCTTCATATCTCTTTTACACTATTATGAATACACCTTTGCTATAAATTTGTAGTCAAGCTGCTTATTCAGGCCGCCATCAAGGAGAAGAATGCGAATATAATAAGAGTAAACGGATCGCAGTTATTTACTGCTGATAGTGAAGGCAAGGTGAGCTTTCCATTACATTTTTCTTTTCCTAAAATTCCGATCACTTCATTTTCAGATAGCCTTGCGAGCTTTGGGAAGCATGGAAACAATACGAACTATACCTGCACATAACGGTTTGATCACCGATTTTGACGTTAGTGGAAACCGACTGATAACATGTGGATGCTCGATGAGGTGAGTATATCACATCTGAAAAGCCCAGATACATCAGTTACCTCTTAAGACAAGGAGTACCTCACGGCGATCCTTACGTGAAGGTGTACGACTTGCGCAGTTTTGCAGCTTTACCACCAATCGCGCTCTCATTTGCACCTTCCTTCACCAGGTTCCTCTCGATTCCAGAATTTTGTGACAGTCGAATTCTGAGTGTTGGGCAGGTAATTTCTCTTGCTTTCCATTTTTCTTTGCTAACATCGCTTTTCTAGAATGGCCAAGCGCAAATGATGTTCCTTAATGAAAGAAGCGCTGGAGTGCCGCTGATTATCGACTCTGGCGGGTATCATTTGACGGCATTTAGTTTCTCATCGACCAAGCACTATCTGGCATTCGCGGATGAAATTGGTATGGTGCACTTCCGCTGTTATAAACAAAGTATTTTATGCGAGCGTCTTATTGCATGTTTCCTCGAAACTGCTCTATGCTCTATCCTAGTAAAGAGCTAGAAAATATAACATTGGTTATCGATCAGTTCAGGTAGCATTCATGTATATGCCGATAGACCAAATCCAACGGTCAACGAATCGTCTTGGGAAACAGACTTTGCTGATCCTTCGGTATGGTAGTCTTCATTAGCGAATTCTTGCCCATAAGAATGTGATCTTCTCAGCTTGGACCCCCTCAATCTTTCCTCATCGACGACACGCATACTCCCTTAGCCGCTATACCGTTACCATTTTCTTGTGACGACTCTTACCTTTCGGATTGGCCGGAAGAGTTCTGTCAGAATGTTTACCGGTAAGTTGCATGAGATCAGGCCGTACTGGAATGTGTTATTTACGATTTGCAATCAACTAGTTGTTAGAATTCCGGATTCAGCGAATCATTTTTATTTTGTTCAAAGTACCACTTTTACCACCTTTTATTCCGACTCTCGCTCCTGATACACCCAGCAGCTTGACGCATGATCACATATTCGTTGAGAAGTAATTACAAAACCTTTGGTATTACAGGAGACCAAAACCTATTCCTACCTCACCATCTTTATCTACTATCCAGTTTGTTGGATATGTTGCTAACCCACGAGCCAACACGCCGCTGGCTCGTTTCAATGTCGTTCCTTACTACCAAGACGGTCAAGAAGACAGTGGTGAGACAAGTTTCGCATTTGCTTTGTAATGCCAATCAAAACACATTTTGTTTGAAGAAGTCGAGGACCCGGGTCCTTTGATTATTCCACAGTTCTATCGCAAGTTGGAGTTACGGCGCTCAAGGAGTGGACGACTTGATGATACTTCTGTACTAAAATACAACAAGACTGACCATGCACCAATGGAGACTATCACATCCAGTTCTATCATCAACCCTATAGTGCTAGTAAGTTATAGATTTAGGTTCAAACACGTAGCTTTCAGTTAGGCCATTTTTATTGCAGATACTTTACCACGTACCTGCTTTTCGCAATCTACTTTTATCTCATATCTGTGAGGTGGAGCATTGTATCGCCTGTCAAATGGGTTTTGTATTCAGAATCATCAGCGACAAAAGCAAGTTGAAGGAAACTGCTGCTGTGAGTTCTACATATGTTGTCTGATGCCAGTACATGTTCATACTACAGTGTACGAATCTCATTCGTTCCCTTTTGGTGAGTCGAGGATGTGAACTGATGGGACCAGTACAGACCACAACACAAAATCTCTTCTCGAATGTTGTTAACATGATCAACGGGGTATCATAGATCCATCTTATTCCAATTTGCTTATTTCTTGCCCATTCCAGTCAATGATCGAGGGTGAATGTCAAGCACTGGCTGATATCTTGGAATCTAGTCTGACTGTACTATCGAGATGTATTCGTTGTGGTGAACTGAATGCTTCAGATGAGAAGAAAGTTGTTATTTCGTTAAATTATCCTGAAGGTAAGAGCACCTAATATTAGTTACGCTTTGAAAATCTGTTTTAAAGCTGCCAACGAACGGACTATGAGTTACTTGCTAGAGAAGGCCTTACATGCCAAAGGGCAACGTGAAGGACCATGCGCCTCCTGCAATGTTACGGTAAGATCAGCGCAGATCACTTCCTTCTTCTGCTTGTTTAGTTTTCACACATCGCATCTTTTGCCGGAGACATCTTTGGCATTTCTGGTTTTGCCATATATGATTTTAGACAAGGACGGACGATACCAGAAGGGTACAAAAGTTGGCGCCAATACTCTTGATTGACACAAATCCGTCTAACCCAAAGTTTGCAGAGTTTTGGGATAAACAGTTCAAAGTAAGCCATACAGATGCAAAGGATTTGCTTATGCCTTCTTTTTGTAGTTTTCGGAGTCACGACCTCGCTATCGCGTTCCGGAAAAGGAATGCACTCTAGATGGTGGAGCCCGTCCTGAGCGCCCGTGCCGTTACGGAGCTGAATGCCGCAATAGGTTTGCCCTACTTTTGAAGTTTTCTACGAAGATGGCAACTTTTCCAGAACCTACTGTAAGTACTCTCATGGAACCGATGACTGGGATATTGAATGTGCTACCTGGCTTGAAGACAGTGGTTGCGGTGATTGGAAACACTTCGTCTCTCCTTCATTTTGCGCTAGAGTAAGTTTTCTCCTTTTTAGTAGTATTCGTCTATTGTACCATCAATCAACAACCTTATTTATGGTCACTGACCCTATAGAACGATTAGCTCATTGCAGGTTGCGAATGGTTTGGCTATCCTGAGCGACAAACCGATGGAAGGAGACTGTGAGCGATACGAACTTGTGGCTATAGTAGCCGCCATAGCAAACAGCAGCGGGCAGTGGACTCATTCTGTTGCCATGATTAAGGACGAGCTGGATCCGTGAGTTTGATCTACCAAACATGTTACCAGCTAGATCTACTAAACGTTTTTTTTTTCAAGAAAGTTACCTTGGTGTCTCTTTAATGATGTACTCGTCACTCGTCTTCATACCGACGAAGCACTGCATATGGATTCGCGATGGAAGCTTCCATTAATTCTCTGTTACGCCAACGAAAAATCTGGACTTATGAAAGGTATCTGCAGTTTCTTAGTTGATTACGAACTAAGCTAGCTTTATAGTACCCGAAACTCGGATGCCAATCCCTGCCACCGTTTTCCAAAACGATGCGAATCTCACTGGAAATGATGAGGTCGCGCGAGACAGAAGGACTTTCAAGATTCCTGGCGAGGGTGAACACATCGGAATCGATGCCGAATTTATAAATCTCAACTGCAACGTCGTAGGCATTTTAATCCTCTCAACACTAGCACAACTTCTCTTCTACAGGAACACAAAGGGGACAAGGAGCAAGGAGTGAAATCTGTTGGGCGAGTGAGTTGCGTAGATTCGACTGGCGAACAGATTTTGATTGACGATTACGTAGTCACTTGCGAGGGTGACGTGGTGAAAGATTATCTCACGCAGTTCAGGTCCGTTGCAGAAATTTTCGCTATCAAAGTTATTTCTGATTTCTTGCTTGTGACGGTCATAATGCGCTTCAAACATTTGATTTGGTGGTGGTGGTGGACTAGATATACTACAATTTTGCAATTATATTTGGATGTTTCATATAATGAAGGTGTCATTCACAGTGACAGTAAGAAGCACAGTTGCCGTCATTCTAGAAGTCACCTTGTTTACAGTACCCGTTTTAGTGGCATAATCAAAGACGACTTGGATCCAAGCAAATCAACGAAGCATCTGACAACCCTGAAATGTGTTTATCTCAAAGTATTGCACCTAGTTGAAAGAGGTTGTATCTTCGTAGGTCATGCTCTCGTCAATGATTTCTCTGCTCTCAACATCTACGTAAGACCTCGAATTCAAAAATTAAGTCATATCAAATCTTTGGTTCAAGGTACCTGCTAAGCAAATGATTGATACGGTGGAACTGTTCCGAATTCCGCAAGTTCCACAGCGTTTAATCTCACTGCAGTTTCTGGCGTTCTATCTACTAGGTATGTCATTAAGTTACAAAATGATGGCCCTTTGAAATTAGCGATTTTCAGGGGAAAAGATCCAAGACGGGATCCACGATTCCGTGGAAGACGCGCGTGTCGCGCTGAAATTGTATAGAAAATGGGAGGAACTGAAAAATGATGGTCAGCATTGACCATATGTTACCTACTTTGATGATTTCTGCTATTCTAGGCACTCTCGACAGCGCTCTAAGCAACCTTTACGTGATCGGTAAGCAAACGGGCTTCCGGGTTGATCGCACGTCATCATCAAAAAGCGTATCTCCCGTGTCCGAAACCGCAGCTAGTGGAGCATCACATAGTTTAGAGTAAGGGAAGGGTGTAGGTGTGTACATTTTTTGGTCTGTCTAGTTTGTGGGCAATAATTTCCTTTAACTTCCTTTTGAATCTCTAATAGCGGTGAAGTGTCTAACTTGATACTGGAGTTGTTTCACTGTAATTATGTACAACATGCAATTGTAAATAGACTCATAAATATCATCTTACCAAAGTACAATTTATTTATTTTCTGTTTGATCACCTTTCACTTTGCTCTTCCTCTTTTCTAGAAATACTGTCAATGAAAATACTGACTAAATACAACTGAATAAACTATGTTAAAAAATTTTGGTCTTCTCAATCAATCGAATTATCGAAGAATACTGAAAAGATTAGTTTTATTCTACTCCGATGATCACACTACGACTATTTGGACTCACTAATTGGTCGGAGTGGGAACAAAGTGAAAAATAACACCCCAGTCAAGGGAAGGTTCAATTAGCAAAATATATGGACGGCTAATGTTTGTAAACTAGAAAATCAGGAGGGGGAGGGGGGGGCACGCGCAAGCATGTATTTCTTTCGTACTCAAAACTGATCTTTTCATTGATATCATAAAATACTGGGCTGGGTGATGCCCAAAGCATCTAAACTCTTAACAACTTGCCAGAAACTTCGCGCAACCCATTCGTCATCGTGGAGATGAACTTCTGGTCAGGGCTGGCTCTTCTACCTCTCGATTCCTGTGTTATTTGTGCAACTCTGCTTCTCTTGCTCTCACCTCCGCGTTTCGAAAATCGACATGCGCCCGTTGTCTCCAGCACCGCCCACATTTCAGGCAATGTCGCGTCGTGAGCGCAAGCGGAGAGGTCGTTGGGAAACGTACAACTCCGAATTCAATTCGGAAGAAGGTTTCTCCAACAGCTCTGTTGATAAGCAAGTGGAGAAGGAGGCAGCAGCACCCGGTTGGTGATCTGTTCATCGTTGCCTTAGAATTATATTGTGTACTGTTTTGCAGTCCCAAAGGCTGCTTCCCATAATTTGAATGGTGAGAATGTTGCGGTGATAACGGATGAATTCGGTGGCAAGGACTACCGTTCAGAAATGCCGCTGAAGGTAATCATTCGTGGTCTCTCATGTTAATCATGGGCACAGCGGTTTCTATTGAGATTCAGTATACAAAATCAAAGACTAAATGTGCTCTGCGTCTAGATTGGACTAGTCAGCATGGCTGGGTATTGTCATTGCTGTCAGCTTGCCAAAAATACCGAAATTTGAGATACTTAAATGTCGAGGAGACATCTGCGGTAGTTTTTAAACTATTATAACTTAGCAAGAAATTATTGGGCTCTCGAAATGCATCGCGCCTCATATTCACGTAATGAGTTGGAGAACTGAAAACTTTCAAGTTCTTATGAAATGTAATCAAAGAAGTGCAGTTGGTATCAGGATTCGAAAACTTTCTCAGTTCAATTTTGACAGTTGAAGGCTTCCAGAAATGCTCTGTACATTTATTGCAAATTGATCAAGCATAGAAGTTATGACAAAATTAAATATTTTAGCTGGATGATGCAATTTTCTTGTGCTTTATGCAAGAGAGTGTTATTGCCGTTGTTCAAAACCAAATTGTAGGGAAGAGGAGTAGGAGTAGGAGTATTAGTATTTATGTGGCATAGGTGACTTGAGTGCTACTAGAGTAAGTGAGAAAGAAGAGTTCAGGGAGTCGAGAGGGGTGTTAGCGCCGTTTGTCTCTTGTGTCCTTTGAGCTCTTCTACATCGGTTGACACGAAAACTCGAAATCATGGGGTTATCTCTGGGTAATCATTCGGCATGCTCATCATGAATATCGTGATGATTTCGCAGATGTTACCGTTTTTTGGTTTTACGCTGGGTATGCGCAAAATGGTCAAAATTATTTAGTCTGCTCAGAACTCTGTCTATGGGGTATAGTACCGCAGAGGTACAATCAAAATTTTCTCTATGCGCTGAATGTGAACCCCCTTTACAAAGAAAATAAAATTTTTGGCCCACATACCGTATATCAACCGTACCCCGTGAACATGGCGCTGTTGTGTAACAAGCACGATCTTCATGATTAGCGTACCACCCACTCGCCCTGGAAAAACCTAGGAAAAGGGTTCATATTTTTTGAACTATTTGGAGTAGTACCAATCGCTGATACAAATATGTGCTTTGATTGCTTCTGTTTGGGTGTGCATTCCGATAATAGATTTTCCATATGCTTGGAAAGTTCCAGCATAAATTGACACGGATTTATTGAGGAATTCATCCACATTGATCACTCTTGTTTAGCCTGACCACGCCTCAAGGCCGCTATGGGTCGCTCCAGATGGGCATATTTTTCTAGAATCGTTCAGTCCAGTTTATAAGCATGCACGAGATTTTTTGATCGCGATATCAGAGGTAAGCGCTTTGCCAATGCGATGTTGTCAACTACAGATGTTTATTTTAGCCAGTATGTCGACCGGAGCACATTCATGAATACCAACTTACGGCATACTCTTTGTATGCAGCTGTTTCAGTAGGATTGCAGACAAATGATATCATAGAGTATCTCGAGAGGCTCAGCAAAAGTGCGCTACCACGAGGAATAATAGAGTTTATCAAGGTATGTAGAGCACCCCTTGAATATGTACATACTGAGTTTGAATATTTGTGGAACACTTCCGTTGGCAGACAGCCTTACAAATCATTGTAGATGTGCACGCTGAGCTACGGAAAGGTGAAGCTTGTCTTGAAACACAACCGTTACTTTGTTGAGTCTCGTCATTCCGACGTTATCCAAAAGCTTCTGAAGGATAAAGTTATCCAGTCGTGTATTTTGGAGGAAGAAAAACCGGTTGAGGAAACACAGGTTTGTCATTCTATTTGACGTGTGGGACGAAGTTGCTTGCAAATGCTTTTTTCCAGACGCAGATAGAAAAAATCAACTTTCCACAAGAACAAACTAAGGAGGAAGAGAAGAAACCTGATGCAGAAAATGTAAATCTTTTCGTCGTTTTGTCTACTCACTTTCACTTCCAATTATCACCTGTCCTCTTAGGTTCCTGAAGATATCGGAGAATTGTACGGAAAAATGGATGGAGATGACGAAGAAGATGCAGAGATCCGAAGTTTGCAATTGCTTACCTTCGAGATCAAACAGGTGCGCATAGCTATTTGAAGTCGTTTTTATCTGATCTACCATGCCTGACATTTTGGATAAGCGCGTTTCAGGAGACCATTGAGACCGTGCAAAAGCGCTGTATCGAATTGGAGTACCCACTTCTGGCAGAATACGATTTCCGAAATGACACTATGAATCCTAACCTTGGTATTGACTTGAAACCCTCGACGACGCTCCGTCCATATCAGGAGAAAAGCCTCAGAAAAATGTTTGGAAACAGCCGAGCCAGGTAGGTGTATTCGTCCTTAACCTAGTCTTTCAGCTTTCTGTCTGTCATATATCTAATACTGACCTATGATCATTAAAAAATCTCAAATTATTCTTTAGATCTGGGGTCATTGTTTTGCCATGCGGTGCAGGAAAGACGCTAGTTGGGGTAACTGCGGTCACAACTGTTAACAAGAGATGTCTCTGTTTGGCCAACTCTAATGTGTCTGTGGAGCAGTGGAGAGCTCAGTTCAAGGTTAGTAGTTGTGAGAGAACACTGATGTTTGTGACATACTGAACTGAATTTTTTTTTTATTCACGTATGATTTTTACAGTTATGGTCAACTATCACCGATAAGCAAATAGTACGGTTCACTCGTGAAGCGAAGGATACAGTACCACATGGGGCAGATGCTAGCAAGGTGGGCACTGTTGTTGCTCTTAGCAGCACGATTCAAAGGAGCTACTTATCAAACAACTCGGAATTTTTGCAGCCTGTTGTTTGCATAAGCACTTACTCAATGGTGGCTTATGCTGGCAAACGCACTTATGCAGCCGAAGAGGCAATGAAGTTTATCGAGAGCCAGGAATGGGGCCTGCTGTTATTGGATGGTATGTTTTGTTGTTTATTATCCAAGAACTCCGCTATGTGTTTTCAATGGCACAATCACATCTATTGCAGTTTTGTTCTAGACACGATTCAAAAGTCCGCTTATCTGCATTATTTAGAAGTGCACACGATCCCGGCCAAGATGTTCCGACGAGTGCTCACTATCGTACAAGCACATTGTAAGCTAGGGCTCACTGCTACTCTTGTGCGGGAGGATGACAAGATTACTGATCTCAACTTCTTAATCGGTAATTTTTGCTGTACTTGAGGAAGCTTTTAGCACGAGAGATGTTTTATTCAGGCCCGAAGATCTATGAGGCCAATTGGATGGAACTGCAAAAGGCTGGCCATATTGCAAAGGTGCAATGTGCTGAAGTTTGGTGCCCCATGACTTCCGAGTTTTACGCATATTATTTGAGGTTTGTTCCTTAGCTCATCTTTTCTCACTAAATATAGCTGTAAACTTCAAGGGAGAGCTTCGCGATATTTTTAGCTTCACTCATTACATCATTTACAGGGCTCAGATTGCTCGACGATTATTGCTTGCTGTCATGAATCCTAACAAATTCCGAATTTGTCAGTTTCTTATTAAATTCCACGAGCGGAGGAATGACAAGGTTCATTGTCTATTGCATCAACAACTGTTTCCCTTTCCTAGCCCAAATTTTTTTAAGATCATCGTCTTCTCTGACAATGTCTTTGCCCTGAAAAAGTACGCGATCGAGATGAACAAGCCATTCCTTTACGGCGAGACAAGTCAAAATGAACGTATGAAAATCTTGCAAAACTTCCAGTACAATCCGCGTGTGAATACAATTTTTGTATCCAAGGTCAGTCTGCATAGTTGCATCAAGCCAGTAGTATCTAATATTGTGTGCTGTTTAGGTTGCTGATACGTCATTTGACTTGCCAGAAGCTAACGTTCTCATACAAGTGTCTGCACACGGTGGATCTAGACGACAAGTATGGTTGAATCACATATATCGAGTTGTTATGTAGATCTGACATTTCTAGGAAGCCCAACGGTTAGGTCGTATCCTTCGTGCCAAGAAGCATTCCACAGATCAATTCAACGCGTTTTTCTACTCGCTTGTCTCCCAAGATACTGTAGAAATGGGTTACTCAAGAAAAAGGCAGAGGTGAGGTATTTGTGGATCTTGACAAAATTTCCTCATTGAAAGATTCCTTGTTCAGGTTTTTGGTGAATCAAGGTTATGCTTACAAGGTAGTCAATCGTCTGCCTGGTATGGAAAAAGAAGACCTCAAATTCGGAAATAAAGTAAGATTTAGTGTGGACACGATGTTTCTGTTGCCAGTAATTTATTTTACTAAAACGCTAGATTGCTTCAGGAATCCCAGCTGCAGTTATTACAGCAAGTGTTGGCTGCATCAGATGCTGATGCTGAGGAAGAAGATGTCAAGGAGGAAATGGCTGACGGAACGATTAGGGTAATTAATCTATTATTTTCTTGCGCGAATTACCATAACAAAAGATTCGACGCGTTTCAATGCTGTTTTGCAAGCAACAATCGTTCTCTTTGTTTTCCTGTTAATTTGTGAGTCTTACCAAAGTTTATACAAATTTAGGTCAGTCGAAGAGAGGCAACTATGGCATCTGTTTCGGGCGGTTCTAGCGTTTCCTATGCCAACAAATCAAAGGTAATGTTGAACCTGTCTGTCATAGCCTTCATTTTGGCAGATACTATATATTCAATATACATCTTCAGCAATCTCTCGCCGATCGTCATCCACTCTTCAAGAGGTTCCGCGAGAAATAGAAAGCATATCACCCACAACCCGGCGTATTGTGCACCTGCATGAGATAAATATCTGTATAGAAATGTACAATGTTTGAATATTACATTAATAAAGAGAAGCTGTTGATTCGTCTTTTTGATAGCGCAGCAAGTGGAAGCCTCTGAAATTTTCGGAAGTCGGGCACTGAGAAATCACAATGGTGCAGAAAGGCACCATAATCCCTCTTTTATGTAGATTGGAAACGCTTGCAGATGAAACCTTCATTCCTGTGTCGAAAGTCACGAAATTTTTTCTGCGTTTTCTCTGCGATTTGCATCTTTAAAAGAGTGCAATGTCGAGCGCAGTGTCAACTTTGTGCAGGACACATGCTAAATATGAACGCGGGTTAGAGGGACTAGATCATGCAACCCCGAATTCCTGGAAAATGAGCTTCCTGCACATTTACTTATAAAGGGCCTCAAGTGATCGGATATAATCTAATGTATGTACCGTGAAGCAGGGCTCGGTACGAGGTGGCTTTCCGGATATGTAAAAAAACGAAGTTCCTTCTGACATTCGCAAAATTTCACGAACTCCTCATGGACCCAAAACCAGAAATTTTGTTTAGAAAAGCCTATTCTTTTGTATTTCTTAGACCGCAGACTGATACCACCACTGCTTGTCTCAAAACTACATCCAGCTTGCTTATAAGCCACCGTAGAGCCCTGCTATAGAGTCATAGAGCCTGGAACACCTGATTTTTCGCTCTATCACATATAGCTCAGGAATTTTGACTTAGTATTCCCATAAAACACAATGCAACACTTTGCGATTTCGAGTTGAAAGAACTCAAGCATGTACATCCGGTGTAGGCATTCAGAATAATCAAGCATTTTTCTTGACTGTCATGAGAACTGAAAGATTTCCACATGCTCGAACCTTATCAGACCTCTCCCATGAACAACTAACTAACCGCACTTTTTGATAAGGTGTTATCAAAACCCATAAACTAGGTTGTATGCCGCCACCATATCTTGTACAACCAGATTCCTTTGAAGTGAAGGCAGCTCTTATCAAGAGGTCACTCCCACGCCTCAATCGTACCCCTTTAGCTCACTAGAATTGTTTGTTACTCATTAAATAGCTTTTGAATATCCTAAACTAGGTAAATTCAGTACTCCACCATTATTCCACTATTATTCCGCTATTATTTACTATTATTCCATTATACAACTGCTACAAATTACTGATTTCTGCGTCGTCGAGAGGACCTATCGTGAATTTTAACGAAGCAGTTATATGATTTTGTAAAACAAATTATATTCACAAACACTGATCGCTTTTCATGAATGACTGAGAATAAGCTTCAGTGAATTAATTTCTTCTTCAGCCAATTAGTGCAAAAGCTGTTGCAGCTGTTCTTACAATCAAATCTTAGCTAACACGGCCGATGAATGTCATCACGCCTACAAAGCGTGGGAAAAGCGCAAATTTTTAGTACGGTGATTGCTAATTATTGCTAATTATTTCTCATGTCCTCTTTTGGCTCCTTTACATGTGACACTTGCATACTTACAATTGCGCCATAGACAGGTTGAGTCTCAACAAATCCTAATTGCTACTTTTTTCTGTTTGATATTTCGTATGAGCCCACCATACGCCCTTTCGGGGTATCATTCGCTGTTTGCGACGCTTATTTGTGCGATAAGTGACAGTACCATATATTGCACAAAACTTGGCGAACTCATAACTCGGTTCAAAATAAAGCTGGAGGGCTCAAATTCTGCAGGCACACTACCATGCTGACTGCTTATTATCCACCATTTTTTGGACCTCATCGGTTCACTCCTTCCTCCCGACTCAAAAATCCGGGTTTTTGACCATTTAAATTCTTTTTTTTTATATCTCGAGTTCTAGGAAATGCGGCGCTCAAATTTTGACTACACAAACAGTATAAGACCTAACACTACACAAAAAGGGACAGCCTTATTGGCTGAGTCTGAGGCCCATTGTGAATATCGGGCAAAACGTCGCTAATGGAGTAAAGATGGCGAAAAGCCGAGGGTATTGGATTCGTTAGCCCATATATGCCCTTTTCGTTTTTCTCCATATCGATTTAGAAAGCTGTAATTCCACAGAAAAGCGTGATCAGCGCTTGTACTTATCGACCCAAGGTAAGAATAATGTTGTCCTACCACGATCACCTCACTGCACACACAGCCTTTTTGGTGCATTGGCTAAAAACAAGCAAGTTTTCCTGTCTACGGCCAAGACCGTAGATAAGTCTCCACAAAGGCAGTCTAATCTGCCCGTAAAGCTTCCTAGCAATAGAAAATCAACTCTTAGCAGTGTTATCTTTCCCAGTAGATGGAAATGTTCCTCTATGAGAGGTCTGTCATCGTATAAGTGATCAAGCTAAAAGGTCACTATACGATTGACCATAAAAGCATGGCCCCGTGTTTGGTTAACCGCTACATGAGGTATAAAAGCCGGGGTGGTGCTAGATAAGGGCTTTACGTCTTTGATCCGTTGCTTGTTCTCTCTACCACACGTTTTGCAATCAAATCAATTATTGTTTTTAATAACACTCGTGAGTCGCACTGTCGCATTCGCGGCGCAAATGCGACCCAAGGTATCAATCGTTGTTTGAGTAGCGTCCAAATTGGAGCCTACCTGTGTCATTCCTGATAACGATAAATCAGTCTACCACAAAACCACCGTGCACGCATACTACAAAACCGTTGTACCTGAACCACCGTTGTAACATTGGGCCGTAATATACTCCTTTGTCCCAATAGGCGAGGGACTGCACCGCACTCCTACCGTACCGCAAGCCGAGGCACCCGGCATAAATTCCCACCACCAATCCATCCCATCGCCCCATCGCCATACCATCCTACCGCCTCTGCACCATTCCGACACATATTCCACTATCTATAGCTGCTAATGTTATTATTCTGTTCTGCCAGTCGACGAGCCAGCCACCCAGCCGCCACAAAAACCAGCCACAGCACCCACTCAGCCACTCAGCCGCCACAAAAAGGCAAGTTATAATTTTCTTGTTAGTTGTCATGTCGTTGAATTCATGTTGGTAACTTGAAATTCGTCGCCTTTCTGCCTACCCCCCCCCCCCCAGCAATGTCATCGTATAAGTGACCAAGCTAAAAGGTCACTATACGATTGGCCTTTCAGGGGCCATAAAAGCATGGCCCCGTGTTTGATTAACCGCTACATGCGGTATAAAAGCCGGGAAGATTCTTAATAGGGGCTTCACGTCTTTGATCCGTTGGTTGTTCTCTTTACCACACGTTTTGCAAACCAATTATTGTTGTTAATAACACTCGTGAGTTGATAAACCGTTGTACCTGAACCACCGTTGTAACACATAGCTATTAATGTCGACACGCTGGACTTTGGACAAATTTCAAAGTCTATGCAGAACAGATAGCGTTCTCACAAGCCGATGAACCCCAAACGACCACTGACTTCATAAGTGTAGGAGTCAAGCAAATCAACAAGGCAAAAGGGGACTTGAAGAGCCTCTCAATCTCAAATCTTCAGATAAATCGGAGAGTGTATTACAGCACAGGTAATAAACGAAGAAAAAAGTCTAAATAACGCTGTCGTGGAGATAGAAAGAGAAATTGAACGAGATCTTGGGGAAAGTCACAAAAATGTTTCATGCTATGATCCCGCTGACTGAAGCCAAAAGTGTAAACGTTTACCGGATAATCGCCCAGAGATGTTGGAAATCGTGAAGATTGGGATTTAAAGAAAGAGTTTTCGAGAAGAATTCGCTTATGGCCCAAGGATCACTAGCTCGGGGTCAGAGTAGTTATCGGAAGATAGCAGAGCAAGTGCAAACAGTCATCATAATGGCGCGCAAGCAAATGACGGTGTAAGAACGCCACCGCTGACCTTGTCCCAAGTTTTTCAGAGTAGAAAAAGACTATCGTGGCCAATCTTTCAAGCACTCATTCACAACAACAAAAACATGAGCACAGTTGAAAAAATTATGTAGGCGAGAGATAGCCTCAAAGGAGATAGGGAACGCCATAAAAGGTACTACAGAACTACAGCTGGATGACTATCGAAAAAGTACGGCAATAGCTCTTGAATGGAGCAAAGTTCATGCAGCTCTGGCGTTTCTGAAACCCACGAATAGTAGTGTGTCGGGACACAGCTGAGCACTGCCTGCTCTCCTCCCGTGGGCTGGCCAAGGAATTCAGATAAGAGCCAGTGCCCGTGTACGACCGCGCTCCGTAAGGCTGCTCCAGCAGTCTTTTCCCCCTTCCCTTTTTTGTAAAATATGTAAATAATAAATTATATATAATAACTACTCTGTACTCAGTCCCATTATGTCAATTTTCGCTTTTTTTGCAACCGTGATCCGTGATCTTCAATTGATTTCTTTTCTTTTTTCTTTAGTAAGACAATGGACTTGTTCGCGCTCGCCAGCATAAAAAAGTACAGATCAGAGTTAATTTCGATTCAGTTGACTACTGGCCCATGTACTGAAAGCCTCTGATGGGAAAAGTCGATAATTAGAGTCGCTAGTGAATAGCAATACTCTGCAATAAGAGAGGAAACGACCAATGTCAGTGCTAATAAGCGAATGATAGAGTATTCATGCATGACATTGCATCCATGCAACTTATCAATTTCTTACTCATGCCCAAAATAGCGTAACCTTTTGATACGCACGTATAGACTATTCAGATTATGTAAAAAAGCATAAAGTAACAAAATATCAACTATGGAAATTATTACACTTTTTACCCCTTCCCCCCCCCCCCCCCCCCCCCCCGACCTCAAAAAAGTTTTGCCCTTATCTCTAGCCCCGCCCATCTATATTACGTAATATCAGTTCGACCTGCCCTAGACTGATAGTCTTGGATCATTTCGAGCATTGGTGCCCACACCAGTCGTCTCCAAGCTTCCTCTCAGCCTCTTTCGAAGCTTTTACTGAGCTTGAAGTCCACTACAGTACACCAGCTGTACCTCCGCCGCCTGCCATTGTCGCTAGCCTGCAACCAGTGCCAGCCGACTAGCCTCTCCATTTGCTAGTACTATCTCGCAACCGACCAACAATCAAGCCTCTCCATCGACTCCAGCCTGTCTCAACCGCAACCTTTGTAGCAACGATTGGAATACAGGTGCGATCCACATAGCCTCATATAATTGACATTCTAGTCGTCCGCTCGGTTGTCTTTATTTCAAAACTAAAACTTATGCAGAAATATGCTGCAAATCGCAAATTTTTACTAACTACACATGTCAAAAATGGTTTGCAAAACTAAATCAAACAAAAACTCAAATTATTAGGTCCACTTTTCTTATTAGGTCCCCGTCCACAGACCATGACAAACTGATTGAAGAATCTAAACGTATCTATGGTCTAATTCTGTGAGACGTTTCATCCTTTGCAAATGACTCCATTCTAGCCAAAATGGATAGAATTCTAGATATTGAAGTACCCAGAACATCTGTCAACATGATTCATAAGCCGTATCGCGGGAAAAGATGGAACATTCATCAGAACTCATACAATCCCTATACATCTACATCTAGCAGTTATGCGCGTGCTCGCTCGCCAAATTCAATTTCGGAAATTCATCATATCCGCAAAGAGCAACGTTAGATTTGCGCCACTTCCATCAGATCGTTTTGTAGAGCTCGCAGCAGATCGCCATATCATAGTAGAAGACAATTACCAAATCACCAACAACAATCGTCATCCCGTCGTCAACAATTTAGGTCTAGAACACCACCAAATTTTTCCAATAACAGGCGAAGAGAGCAATCACCACATTTTGTCAATAACAGACAAAATAATCGCAATCAGAATCGTAATCAACGACAAAGACCAGCCAATTCAGTTTCTACAAATCTTTCCACTGGATTATTAGACAGTCCGTATTCACTTTTTGTCGTAGCATTATCTTCCCTTTTATTACTTAATGTTTCCGCACTTTCACAGCAAACTTATCAGCTTTGCTCCGCGGGAAAATCTGGTTGGCCTGTTGCATACCCAAAAACAACATCATGTTCACATTCTCCAAATTCCACAAACATTTTGATCACAACAGCACAAATTTATGTGGAACGTACGGAACCTTATCTTTTACCTGCATTTCATTGCTTCAACACCAGGAAAATATGCGCTTCTTCATATTTCCACATATCTTTTGCTGTAAGCAGTGACGATGAGTACATGTCTCCTGTGGGGTGAAACAAAGAAATCTTTGGGTATACCTATGCAAAGCTATCACCTAATGTATATGGCTCAGAAAACGCCATACATTATTCATATCTTTGGTTTTTTGGAGACAAATGTATGCTTACGACTAACGTTTACATAGAACAAGCTGATATAGCTACTGTTGACGGAAAAACCATCACTAGTCAATTTGGTAATATAGCTCAATGTCGCATTGAAGATAAACAATATAAGATGTCACATGGTGCAGTAATCTGAGATTTCGGAGAACAAGATCCATTTGCTTGCAAGTATGTAAAAGCTACAGAAGGAATTGCATGTGTTACCTCAACTCATATAGTTGTTGATACCATGCAATCTGCCTTCACTTACAGTAATATAGCGTTAACGTCTACTCAAATTTCAATCTGGTGCTTGCCCAATAGTTCTGTACCAATGAATAATGGTGTTTTTTATTACGCTTCCAGAAATACAACCATAATCCGCGTACTATGTTCAACGAATTCCCACAAATGATCAAGGATATCAACAAAAGTCACATTGATGCATCTAAAATGCTTCATTTATTCAACACCGTGTATCAAAGTAGGAATAATTTTATAACCTCTACTCCATCGTTCCGAGAATCTTCAGAAGATCAACAGCTTAAGACGTTTGAATCAGTATACTCAATTTTTGACAAACTTGCTACGAGAAAACCAAATTTCAGATTTAAAAGAAGTCTCTTGAACAAATATAATCAAAAACAGCTATCTCATATTCTTTTTCGCCCGAGAACGGGTCGCAAAATTTTTGAAAGTTACTTACATGGGTTATAAAATTGTGCAAATGACTTGTCTACACTTGTAAATAATTAAAATAATTTTTAAAAATTTTTAAAAATTCAAATTAGCCTTATAAAAAATTTAGCCACGCCCCCTTTTTCTAAAATTTTGAGGTTCTAAGCCCGCGAAAATTTAAGGGAGCATACTAAAAATTTTTTTGGAGTGCGTGGCTGACGCCACGCACCTTCATCGGAAAAATTTTTTTGTCGCGCCCCCCCCCCCCCGAGCCGAAATCCTGGGTACGCCACAAATAGCTATCAATAGTGAACCTGATTTCAGCACGATAAATCATGACCTTTCCTTTTCTCATGAGCAACGGCAAGATCAACGCCATTACGAATTGAATACCAAGATGGAATTCCTCAAAATAAAGTTGGAAGAGATTATCAAACATTACCGTCGTGTCATTCGTAACTTAATATGCGTAGTGCACACTAAGCACGCTAACTGACGAACGCCAAAACTGGAACCTGCTCATTTCCAATGAACTTTGCTTGTTTTCTTGTCTCTTTTGTTTTTGTTGATTACATGTTAGTGAATTGAATACATTTCTACTACATTTTGTTAGGCAAAAAAATGTTTTACTGGAAAGTTAACAGTAAGGGCGCCGCCGCTGATAGGGCTTAGTGTGCATTCTCACATATTAGTCCACAACAAGGATAGAGAATGACTGCTATTTGCATTGTTTGTTTTGTTACTAACCATAGTGCTTCCACTAATGATCAGATCAACCAGCCCCATTCATCAGAATCTTGAATTCACCTCATATCCCTTCACCGTAGCCCAGTCCCACCCCCACCTTTGTCGGATATTAAAGCGCATAGTTGATGGATGTTCATCCCTACAACTTCCAACGAATCTTGCTCTCTTCTCAAGCAACTATTCAGCCGGGGTTAAAGGCAGTGGCTCGGCAAATCTCAACCTAGTGTAATTTTCGCTTACCTGGGGTTATTCAATACGTTGATCCCGAAAATGCACTTTTGAGAGCTTGAAAACGGCGAAAACGAGCGTTTTTCAATGCCCTTCTTTTTGGAATTAGACGACATTCAAGTTATGGATGGACCCGAAAGTACCGACTCTGAATTCGAGGACGTAAGTTTTGCTTTTGTTTCATTCTAATATATGAAAATCTAAGCAATATTTCATTCATCACTTTTTTCAGGTATTCGATGCGTACTTCGATCGCTATTCTACGCGTAACTCACAGCTTTTACGTAAAGTTGATGAGTTACAAATAGAGGTGGGAAGACAGTCAATGGAGAATGGGCGGGTGAGGGATGCCCTTGCAGCTCAAGAAAGCAGGGCGAATCAGCTAACCCTGGATCTCCAAACCGAGAGGAACAGGAGCGAGCGTGCGACAGCTGATCACCAGGCAACCATCAATCGGTGCAGTGCAAGAATAACTAAGTGTCAGTGAAAGATTGAGGAAAAGGAAGATGTAAGTATTTCAATTACAGCAATATCATAAACATAAGCTTTTTTTATCGATAATCTGAATAATTGTAGGAAGTTGAAAGTCTTCTCGCAGACCTGTATAAGACAAGAAGGAATTTGCCTTTGAAACGCGGGCATCAAGAAGGCACACATAATGTACTGCTCGCCAACATGGGAGTTCATGTTGGCGAGGATGTCGAGAGGGAACGTGACTCGTTCCTTCATCGACATCCAGGGCGATGGGAAGGCGACTTTAACGCTTTTACTCATCGACGGCACGCATATTTGTGGTGGGTTTTAGCCTATTTGATGATAGCTATTGAAGTTTAAAAAAGCATTTTCAGGACCTATGCGGCCCCCCCATGGTGCTCCGTACAGTTTTAGAATTGACTGTGCGGATAACTTCTGGAAGGGAGACCACAATGGTCTATGTCTCGGCTTCGCGCACCTAACCGTCGCGAATATGTTCGGAAGGATACCGCTGCCGAGTGCAGCGATGTTGGAGAGGAGCCTAGACAAATTAAAGGCATCCTCTCGTCAGCTTCGACGAGACGGAAGGGATCGTCGCTCGTGTACGACAGGCACGGAGAAATATCATGTGCACTTGACCATTATTTGCTCTTTATTATTGTGTAAAATTATCTTTAAATGATAAATGTTCGATCATGCCATGTTTTGTTCTTTGATAATAGTGCATCTCAAGTAAATAGTGTATTAAACTACATTATGTAAGAGCCGACGCAACGGCAGATAACGGTCACGATAACGGTCAATTTAACGATAACGGTAACGGTCCGATAACGGTCAATTTTACGAAACCTTCTTTTTTACGTAAAAAAGGCTGTGAAAGCGCAAATTCTTGTTTTCGATGAGTTAACCTAAAGATACTACTCTCTATATCTGCTTCATTAACATTCGTTCCGATATAGTCAGGACAATAGCATCCGGGACTTTGCCCCGGAAGACTTCTGTTTTTTTCCCAGGTGAAGGTTGTGTCCCCTCATAGCCTTCGAAGTGAAGGTTACTCGAAAAAAATTTTTTCCTGAGTTTTTCGTTTACTTTCGTCTACATTTAATCAAAGATGCAAGGAAGGCTGAGCCATTTTTTGTCTGTCCTAAGCAGGGCCACAGATTGACGAGAGGGTCCGGGAAAAGGAAGAAAGTGTGACATTGGACCGTAGTAAACCCCCCATCCGGGCATCTCTCTCGACGCGGACAGGAGTTGAGGTCATCGCGCTTCAGTCCAGCATCCAGTGAGCTATTGATTTGGATGTGGATCGCTTCCTAGACATGATAACCACATGTGTTCTCAAAAAACCAACCACTTGAGCTGGTCTGGTCAAACGGATAAGCGATTGGAATTACACGCGCGCGGTCGTGGTTCGACACCGGTTAGCGCCACAACTTTTGCTGCATCGCCCGGACAATCTTTGATAGCGGCCACTGTCGAAAAAAATCGATGATGACCGCTAACAAGGATATCACTTAGCAAATGGACAGATAAAACAAAACTGACATATTTTGACGGAGAATTCATGAAAAACTGAAATTTTTGGAACATAAATGAAACGTAATAAATAAGTAGATTCTCTTCTAGAGTAGTTTTTACAAGAAACTAAGATTGCTCTGCAAAAAAAAGAAGAAAACTTTTATCCTTGCTTTTGTCGCCAAAATCAGCTGTTCATCGATCCTTCCCTTTTCGGGCGCCGGTATTGTGCGGTTTTGCGCCGATCTTTTCTGCATTTTTTGGCAAAGTTGTGTGTATCGTAAGTTACTCAGGAGCAACTTATGTTAGATGCAGTCACCTCTTGTCTGCGTCTCCTCTTCTACACACTATTTGGATCACTCTAACATCCGTTCACGTTGAGGTGACTTGAACGTGAACTGATGTGGAAGAGTTGACTGCGGCAGGTGGACAGATGGTCAACTATCAGTTGACTTGACCATCTTATAGCATGGGAACGTGGACGGTGATCAGTTCACCTCACCTAAGGTGAACTGATGGGATAAGTTGAGTTCGCCTCAACTGATCGAGCTTTACTACGGGCCATTGTCTTCAGACTGCTCCGCAACCGGCTAGGTACGTAGACAAGGACGGCGATCAAAGGATATCTACGGTTTTCAAACTTTTTTTGCTAATAACAGAAGAAATCCGAAAGAATACTGCACGGGAGTTTATTCTTGTAGGTTTTCCCGCGTCTTACCCAGAAAAAATAGATTAAGAAAGAATCGTAAGTGGTTGTCATCTACATCTTTTCCCTTGCTTCAGAAATGTATAGGTATCACAGACGTTGTCAACGATTATAATGAGAAGATTAGTCTTTTTATCACGATTACACCAAGAAAAAGACAAGTACACAAAGTGAAAGAACCACAGGTTTTTGAGGTAATTGAGGGCACAGTTAGAACTTGTATACCACAGAATAAAATTCTTCGGGATCTCCAGCAAATTCTTTGTAATCGGGCTCATGTGCTGAAGTGTTGTAGCCTGAAACGAATTGATCTTTCTCTCTGAAAAATCACACAGATGAATATTGTCACCCAGCCGTAGTAATAAAGGAGCTAGGTTGTCCATGTTATTCAGGACATCTTCGGAGTAACAACCAAACCATGAGGTGAGCGCTTTTTTGTTGACTTTTTCTTTCACTTGAGAGGTAGAAAATTCTTTTCTAGAATGTAATTCTCATTTGCTAAAAAGATATTTTCTGAGATACTCACGGATTCAATTTCACTTCACTGCCAATCTTCTCTTCATGTTTCAGCACATCTTCCGACCATGGCACATCAAGGAAGTTCAAAATTCTTCGTGCTTCCTCTTCTGTGCGCTGTACCAAGCGTTCATAATACACCTTAGAGGTTATTAATAAATTACAGACAGAACGAACATAACATTACCAAATATTCGTACCATAAGACATAATCCTTTGGCATTGGTGCAAAAGTTTACCATTTTTGTAAGTTGCGTATTCCACATTTGTAACATTTGCTGTAAAAAAGTTACTAAATAGTCCTGTCGCCCACTATTGCTTTTTTGAATGGAAAATGCTAATCAAGCTTGACATCATATAAAGCAAATGTCTGGCTGAACGCACTATTCTCAGATCAAAGGAGACGCCCAGGCAATTTGGGCCCATTCTTACGTGGAAACCAAGAGCGAAACCTCAATCAATTGTAAGAAACTGTTAAAGCTGTATCAGATTCATATTAGGTCGGCACATAAGTTTTGCAACTTATTTTGTAACTTTTCTTTTTTAACTGTGACGCATTCATTCTTGGGCATAAGGTAGACTAAATAGTATGCTATCAAACTTTGTAAACTGTTTAATTGTTGGTTTCGAAATAGAGAAAATTTGCTCATTTTTCGGAAGCTGGTCATATTCAAAACTTCAAGGGTCGGAAAACCAAAATACGTTCTCAGTCTGAATCAAACATATCAAGCCAAAACTGTTTGCGATTGTTGATAAAAGAAACTCTAATCATCTAACAGTTTCGGCTTGATTTGTCTGATTCAGACTGAGAACGGCTTTCTTTGGTTTTCCGCCCCTTGAAATTTCGGGTTCGACCAGCTTCCGAAAAATGAGTAAATTTTCTCCATTTCGCTGCAAAAACTTGGACTGTTTGTGTGGGTTTGTAGCCTACTTTCTATTCTACATTATATCCGAAAGTGAATGCGTCACATTCAAAAAGAGAAACGTTACGTAATAAGTCAAATTTTGTGGTTAACCTATTTCTTGGCCAAGATGTATTCTAAACTTTCGCTCAATAACGTACTCTTTCCGAGAAAACCAGTTTGCGTCATTGCTTAGGAAGTGAGGATTTAGAATTCAACTTCTCACCCGTGGATGAATTTTATAAGCTGCCAATTTGCAGTGGCTAGTGAAGGCCTCCCTTATGTTTCCACATACACATACACATCCCTTATGTTTCCACATGTTTCCCCATATTCAGGTGTCAACCAGCTGTCAACCTGAGTGCCTCCAACAAATAGGTCATTTGAAGTTTTTCACTCTTACTGGTGGCTTGGTCGGGTAAGAATAACTTACGTCAAATGCTATGTCATATGAAAAACCTTAGATTCGACACTCACTATAGTGCCGTTGATATTATTGAAGAGGGTGAGCCCGATTGCATAGCAAAGTCCTAATGAGTTTCTCTTGGCCTGCATCACAAAAGATGCCGCAAACTTCTTGGTTTAGGTCCCGAAAACTCTTTTGTAAGTACAAATGACCCCCGAACCACAATTTCTTAATCCTATCTTACCATATTTTGAACAGTCCATAGTTTTAGTGAAAATCGGATTAAGTCGATAAAGCTAGACATTTCAATCTACGGTCTCCTACAGTTGAATAAATAATGATTAATGTGCTAATATGAATTTCAATGAAGTGTTATCTCACCCACTGGAATGTTTGTTCTGTTATAGCCAGCGACCGGCACTTTCCGCTGGATTATCGAGTGAATGCTGGCTCTTGCATCGCGAATCATCAGAATATGCTTAGAGTTCGGAAACAATCGGATGAATGTTGGCAGTGCTATGGCCGTATATGGGTCTTTGTTGCAAAGTCTTTTCGCCATAGGACCATGCTTTCCTATTAACTGAAACTGAGGTAGTATTAGTTGTTACACAATCTGTGCTAGCAACGATTCAGCGCCGCTCCAGTGCCGCTTTAACGCAATGCCAGAGCTATGGTTGCTTAGGAACGGCGCTGACACGTGCCGGCTCACGCACAACTCTGGACTCAGCCAAACCTCTAGTAGAAAAGCAGAAGTGGCATCATCAAGTGTCTCCTGGCTGATTCCACTCATATTCGCCTCTTTTGCCATATTAGGAGTGGACCATTGATCTCTCATTCCAACAATCGCTGGTACTATAGATGTTTCTGCTCCGCTTAAAGTTCAATATATGGAGCAGTATGAACTAAGGAAAAATATATCAATAAAAACCATCGAATATCCGGGTGTGAGTCAAGCATTGCGCGCATAAGCGTTGTTCCAGAACGAGGAATGCCCCCTGCAAACTCAATGGTTAAATTTGCCTTCTTTTATGTGAGAGGAAAATGATGCTGGAAACGGTAAAAAAGCAGAAAAGTGGTGAAATAGCGCAAAATGGTGTCAGAAAAGCAGAAGGCAGCGATTGTTATTTACTCACCGATGAAGATCAAAGGTTCATCAGCACTTAGTATCCTCCTTGTAAATCTAGTTGGGGCTTCGCGATTGATGCTACGCAGCCCTAGTTCTAACATTTCCAATTGTTGAAGATGCCTAACCCTAAATGAACGAATTCTAGATTGGATTAAGTTGAAAATCTAAAACTTGATTTTTGTTAAATATAGCAAAGGTTAATCCTGGATTTGCAGGCATTCAATCCACTTTTCGGAAGGACTGAGCTTCATTTTCAAATTTTTGTGATTTCAACAAAATGCCGAGAAGATAGGACTCTCTCTCTGCGACAAAAGCTCTTGAAGAATTGTTGCTAATGGTGTTAGAGTTGTTGCCCAAACATTTATACTCCTCTGTTTTCGACCCTCACCTTACAAGGCAATGCTCACATATCAAATGGCCAATCCAAACAAGCTGCATATCATTAGATGCAGCATAAAACGCTGACTCTGACTTTGGAATCCGCATCTGCTTAGCGCCTTGGTGGACGAAGTTATGAGCCGTTAAAAGCCGTTGTCTTGCTAAGAAAACAACCATGCAAAACGCAAATTTGGCAGTAAACAGTCACGTTCGGCTCAGTGCTTGGCCAAAACATGCAGCTAAGCTACTTAATATTCTTAAAGCCTAAAAATGAGCTGAAAGTGAAGTAATGTGCTCAATTTTGCAGTTTTTATGTACGATTTCTTCGCAATAAAACTGTTCATAACTTGGTCCACAAGGCGCCTAGCAGATACGGAATACTGATTCGAAATAAGCGCTAATTGCTGCATCGAATGGAAGGTAGCTCGCTTGGATTGGCCTCTTCGACTTTTGACCATCCCGTTCGGATATCAGTCGACAGCTATACAGTATGCTCTATTTTACAGTTTCATGGATCATTAGAGAAAAAGAATCAAGATTCTGGCACGCTTACGTGTAAGCGGAGTCACCTATAAATTTCCTAGTCAGTTCATGTGAAAAAACTTTAGAAAAATGGTTTCGAAAATGCTTGAGAAATGTGACATACGTTTTTTTCCTCTTTTTCGTTTTTCTTTACTCAGCTGCCAGCTATCGAAATATTCGCATTTGTGCATTTACAGACAAAATATTCTCGACCTCTTCTTGCAGTGAGAGCATCCACAATGCAAATCGAGACTAATCTTCGCAGAGACTCAAATTTTCAGATAAAATTGGACAAACGAAAGACTCATATATGGAACATTTTTTCATTCGATTTAGCCCATGATAATAACATAACTTATATTTTGCTTGTTAGCCCGTGTACTTCTGCTGTGCAAGCATAAGAGAAACGAAATAAAGAGTGTTTTCTCGCAAATTTTTGCCTAGAGCAGTACTATCAAATAAAAAATTTTAGACTGAAGTTTTTTTTCTACTGATCAACAAATTATGCCCACAAATATTCTGTTGCTCGCCACATAGAAAATGTAAAAATTTTTCGGAGGGTTCTGTTCTTTTTTAATTTCGGTATGGAGGCAAAGTTCACGACAAAGGAACTAAGCAGGGCATTAGGCACTAGAATGCTTCGGGAACTGAAATATACTAAGTTTCATTATTACTGAATATAGCAAAGAAAAAAATGAAAATTTTGTAAGATAATCTTGATCCGAGAATGAACGAAAATACTGGCATGAGAAAATCATGCTTTGCATTATCAGATTGTTTGACTGGAAAGATCTGAACATAACAAAAAAGCTTCCGACTTCCCATTAAAAGTATTTCGAAATTGAGGATAGAGCGAAAACCTAATAAAGAATTGGTTAATGAAATAGCGTTAGTCGGAATAGACTATTTTCATGATCAGAGTAAAATTTTGCACTTTCTGCTTATTTTTCTAAAATTATAACGCTTCAGTAAGGAAAAAACAGCTCTAAAAAATTAAGGGTTTCTACTTTATCCGCTAAGTTACTGCGAAAAAGCTCACCGTTCCTTTAAAATGACGACGATGAGTGCCGCGACCATGAAGGCTGATAGTATCGTTGTCAGCGGCCAATGGATGTATCTCATTTTTTTGGAATATCAGTGGTTGGAAAACACTTTATACCGTCAAGTGACTGGACTGACACCATCAACGTCGAATATTGTCAATATTACAGTATTTGCTCAGTTTCGATAAATATTGCAAATAAGGCGTGAGCCCCTGTGGTCGCGTAAGCCATATCAGCTGCTGTTCGCACTGGGCCGTACTTCCGAAAGTGCAACAAAGTCATGGAAGAGTCAGGAATTGAAGAGTTGGGGAATTAGGCCATATGAACGTTTCATTGAAAGCAAAGACAGATTGCGATTCTGCGGACGCTGTGTCAGCGTCTCTCAATCTGAACGTACTTTCATTCCCCCAACCGTCTGAAGTCTTTAAACACGTACTATTCTGGTCCTTCCATTACATTCTTCATCTTCGCGATTTGAAGAAAAATCTGTTGATTAGTTGATTGAATGTGCGAGACTAATCCACCGATCTTGATCCACACGAGAAAATTGAGTTGCAACGTTTTCTTCCGCTTCCGCTGCGATTTTCTCCACTCTTTCCATTATTTCTGTCTTTATTGTGCTGGAGTTTTGCTTACATAAAATGGATTAACATTGCCGCATTACGTGGCAAAGTCTTCGAATAAAGACAAAAATAAAATCACGTGGGCAGTCGGGATTGGAAAACTTTAATCGAAAGTTATGTGCGATATTTCTTCGCTCCTCAGCTCTAATGTTATGCGCAGGAGCATAATGGCTAATGCCCACGTTATAGCTGAAAATGTTAGGTTGTAAAAAGGATCTGTCTTATGTATGCATTCGAAAGCTCTAAGTCTGCTCTACCAAAATCTTCACTTCATTTTCCTACATCAATGGAATTTCTAAAAAGTTTCACAGCATCAAGTTTGGAAAACCAAAGAAGAAAGAAATACATTTTTAACTAATTTGAGTGATCCTTACTTAGGTCAAAATGCTTACAAAACAGCTCGAAAAATCTGCTGAGTATAAGAAGAGGATACTAGAGCTTCTGCAGAGATTCGAAAGTGCAGAAGAGTTTCAAAGAATTTTTCTTTAAACTCAGAAAGCCTTCTTTCTAACGTCTTCTCAGTGCTGACGTTGGGCATCTGAATGTAGTCCTGAGAAAGAACGATAAAAGGATAATCCAGAATAAGCAGTAGGAATGGTCTTTTACTTTAAAATCATCAAATTCATAAGTTAGTTACTCAAAAATCTGATGTTTGGGGACCACTCAGCTTATGTAGGCGAGGCGACGAATATCGCCGCAGCAAATTTTTGCTTTGCTGACTTCTGAATAAACGGTATCAAAAAGTCGGTAGAAGGAAAGTAACAAGCACAAACAGTGACATTACAACCATAAGAGCCGAATAGGCTGTTTTGTTTGTTCTCAAGCTTGTTGGATAAAATTCATCAATGAAAAACGGGGAAATTTTAAGAGAAAAAAGATGTCGAAAATGGATTTTTTTGCCTCTTCGGTTTTTTGTTTCTGATACTAATAATGGTTTCAATATGCTACTAAGTTGGAGGATGGAGCATACGAGTTTGCAGAGCAGACTTAGAGCTTTCAGAAGCATATGCACTCTATTCTGAATAGGGTAATTATAATTGATAAAAAAATCGGGAAAAAAATGGGACGGAACTTACTACACAACAGTGGCGTACCGAGGGGGGGGGGCAAGGGGGGCGCGCGCCCCCCCCCCCCCCCCGAGAACGGGTCGCGAAATTTTTGAAAATTACTTACATGCTATATAAAAATGTGCAAATGACTTGTTTATTTTTGTAAACAATTAAAATAATTTTTCAAATTTTTTAAAAATTCAAATTAGCCTTATAAAAAAAATTTTTTCGGGGCCGTGGCTGACGCCACGCCCCCTTTTTTCAGATTTTATGGGTTTGGGGCCCGCAAAATTGTTGAGAAGCCCCCCTAAAATTTTTTCGGAGTGCGTGGCTAACGCCACGCACCTTCATTTGAAAATTTTTTTTGCCGCGCCCCCCCCGAGCCGAAATCCTGGGTACGCCACTGCTACACAACCCATACATTTGGTAACTGTTGATGTTCGTTCTTGAAAATAAGCCTAAATTGCATATACATATTTATGAGCATTTCTTGGCACCGAAGCCATTCTGCGTAGCGATTTGGGCGATGCTGAGAGAAATTGAGAAATTACGGTAGATAAGGTAAACACAAAAGCACAAACTGGTTTAGCGATATTTTTGTTCGGATAGCTCAACGTTGGGATTTCTTTCATCTAAAATGATAAAAAATGGCAACAGGGCGGCAGCAAACTATCCAAAGTCTCATACAGCCCCCTACTACCGCGATCCAATTCAATCCGTAAACCTTATCAAGAAAAGACTTTCCCTTTCCCCATTTTGGGTGGTCGGTGCCTTCAAGCGTGATGCTATATGAAGCGAATTGCCGGCGAAATAAACAGGCAATCTTGGCTAAATATAGGGTTCTTGATACTTCATGTGCCGAAACCCGTCGTATTACCTTTGAAGTTCGCTTTTGGCCTAATGGGTAGTGTGAGAATGCGGAGCTGATGGTATTATGGATGTACGTAAAGTGCCTTTTCATACGCAGAACCACTCCAAGCAACAGATACAAGTATATATCACAATAAAGGGGAAGTTGCTGAAGCAATAAGGCCAACAAATAAAATTCATCGGTGCACGATTTCAACACCGTTGAAACGTGATTTTGGGCAAGTAAGCGCGAGCGGCGAGGTATGACGTACCCCTCTCAGATCCCCTCCCCGCGAGGATTTACGTGCATACCGGCCTTAGCTTGTGTTGTTCCTTCCAAATAGGCTGTGCCTTCTAAAGATACTGTGAGAAGGTTCATCTCCCTCAAAGTGCAGTACGGTTTGGAGCACACTTATGCTGTCACAAAAGAATGTTTTGGAAATCCCCATATTTTTCGAAAAAAATTTTGACTTGCAAGATTTTGATTTAAGCTGACAGGATACAGAGTATGATTTGTGAATCTTGGGATTCTGACGGGTCAAACGTTTCTATGACAGTAGTCCTCAAAAGTTCCATCAAACTGCAGCGGAGTTTGATGGAACTTTTACTACACAACTGCTTGGTTGCTGACTGCGGACCTTTCGATTAGCTTTTGCAAATTTTTTTAACCCATTGACGATGATGTGGACCACTGATGGCCTAAGCGCTATTTGCTGCCAGGGACGACATGGACATTTTTAGGACCTATAGGTTCTGTCGCACAAGAAAGTTAACAGTTGTTTACAAAACAATGTTGCATTTCGTAAATAAGCACGAAACCTTCCCCACACTGAAAGTGTTGTGCAAAATCGCGTCGTCCCACAGCGCCGCGCGCAAAATTAGGCGTCGTCATCAATGAGTTAATCTACCAAGTTACTAAAAGTGGAAAGTGAAATAAAATTGTAGCATACCAAATATGCATGCTTGCTTATGATTTTCCGAATCAAAAATGCTATGACTTTATGTTCCTCACAATTTGGGAGAAAATTCCTGTATGTACAAACAACAAAATTTTATCTGCATGGAACAATTCACAACAAGCGAGTTCACAAAACCTAAATTGTGCTAAGAGAATGAACAAAATCAAACATTATCGTATTTTATTCGTACAGCACGCTTACGGTACCGCACTCATAATCTGATCTGCGGTGAGCGGATAGGTGGCTCCTGGCATCGGTACTGAGGCACCGCCCATCAGGACAGAACTGAACGTACTGATGCGGCGAGGCTGAAAATTCATCTGTCATCAACATCATAATTAGTTTAACAATCTGACAAGGGAACCACGTCGAGTGGAAGTGACCTTTCCAGATGAGACCCATACTGCTTTGAAGGGTATTGAGCAGTGGTTCCAAATCTGCCTTCCAAATCTGCCAAGCGCCTCTGGACGCCGAGTTATGACCGTTCTTCGGAACGAAAAATGAATGCAGAATTTAGGTAAAATTGATTGTTACAATCTTTCCAGCGCTCAGATGAAACAATGTTAAGTATTACATATAAAATTAAATGTATCCATTGCACAAACAACTCTGATACTCGACACTGGACCATTTGAGCAAATTTGGGAGATTTTGCTTCAGTTTTGCGTTCCATTTTTTGACCTGAAAAACGAGCATAACTCGGCGCCCAGGCGCTTGGCAGATTTGGAAGGCAGATTAGGAATCACCGATCAAGGCTCTTCAAAGCAGTATGGGTTTCATCTGGAAAGGCCACTTCGACTCGACACGGTTCCCTTGTGAGATTTCGCCTCTTTGGAGCTATCTGGATATGTCCTTACCTCGCCTCACCAAGGATCGGCATATCTCGTAAGGAGACGACAAGTGCACGTTGCATGCAAGGGGTGAAGTGGAAAAGGCAAATTACATTGTTGGATATAAATCGTTAAGCGATTACTTAATCGAAGTTTTTTTCTAAGATGAAGAGCATATTTCTTAAATAAACCTGGTTTCACTGTCTTCTTTAATAGTACTGTTTATGGAATTATGGACGTATTATAATCAAAATGCGAACGCTACTAAGGTAACTCTATATTTACACCTTTCCAACTATCCGAAGGAATAGCGGTTGATGTGAAAGTAGTAAACAGAAAATTCACCAGTGATATAATTGGACTTATGGAAGTCTCTTGGGTGTGTTATTGTATCCGAGGTTTCATTCATTCAACACAAATTCTTAAAACTCTTCGACTAGAACGCACTGCAGACAGATTATATTTATAATCATCATTCGATCGCTTCAAGACGATCTATATTATTTTGTATGACCACTTTGGTTGAGAATGTTTCCCTTGACAGAAACTAGAAGAGCGAATAGCTGGTGTTGAATATTAAAGTGAGTTTATTGGGCATAAATGGATGAGTATCAAGCTTGTTCAAATCATTATTGAGCCCTTTATGTACCACATGTAAAAATGATGGAAAGTCTTTTGCAGGAGCTCGCTTGAAAACACATTGGCACAATTTCAAAATAAGGAGTACTCCAATTGGGAGCCGACCTCGTACATTTATAGGCGATTTATCCACGCAAAGACAGGGGCGTCATTGCGGACCCTGTCAGCGCCTCGCTAATCGAGTGCTCTTTCGTCCCTTTTGCCGTCCGCTCTCTCTCTCCCTTGCACAAACTATCTTGGTCGGACGCAACAGCGTCTAGTCCGTGCGTGCGATGAATGGCCTAAACACGTTGGTGGGTGGAGCATAGGGCATTCGAAAAGTCGTGACGACGGCGCAACGGCACGCGACATGCACGCACTTTTGACAGCTGCATTTTAAGCTTTCATCTCTACTTGAATGTTTTTTTGCTTACCTTTGATATATTTAGACCCTGGAAGTGACTGAACTGACCTTTGAGGTATCCTTTTATACGAATGCTTCATGCTCCTGCGGGCGCAAAGGCCGCAATCAAATGCGTTGTCATGATTTCAATAATGACATGTAAAAAAGCTTTACGGAAACTACGATTATGGAACATACGACTTGTGGTTCATCGTAAATTTTACGACTCCGATACATCACTTGTTCTTATCAGCAACATGCTTAGCACTCTTGGGTTAGGTAACCGGTGCAACTTTGACATGTTTTTGTGAACTTCGAAGAAAGGAAAAGACTTCAAAAAAAGACGGTCGACCGCCGGGGATCATCAGGGCATACAAAAAGCTGGAAAATGCGGCTTGTACAGATTCTCACTTTTGTTCAATATGTTCATGGTGAAGGCTGGTGGGAATACTTACAGATAGGTAGACAGCGTTAGATCCAGATATCTGAAGCTTCAGGGGTTGAAGCTTTCTTTTAAGCTGCGATCCCCTCACCGGAGGCGGGGGGGATGTTAGTGCATGCGGCCCCAAAAGCGGGGAATTTGCTCAGCAGCTGAAAACTTGAGCCGGGCAGCGACTCTCCATTTTCTGCTTTTCTGCTCACTTTTCAGACGAGGTGGCCTTTCCATATATCTCTTATACCACCAGGCGCGTCTTTGCAGGCTAATTTCAAATCTGCTTTCCTTTTGCAACAACTCTCCGAAGGAAGTCACGAGTGTTTGAAAAAAATATGAAATATTAGATCATTTCGAAAGTAATTCCGCCTTTTTAAGGGGGCGCCACATCTGAAGGAACAAAGTTTTTCAAGAGATCTTGATAGCTTCGATGCAGAATTTCATTCTCTAATGGAATAGCGTCGTTGCAGCACTATCCAAGCTTCTAGAAAATTCTCAAAATCTGCCTAGCCAAAATGATGGGAGGGAGGGGAGGGGGGGGGGGGGAATGATCGAGTGGATGTAGACAGGGGTCTATTTAGATGGTCCTGTATCAAAACCATGGAGGCGCGCACTACCTCAATTTTAGTGGGACACCTTCTTCAAGGAAGAAATCCGACCTTTCGCGACAGCCTACTTTATACTATTCAGTGGCTGCTGCACTGTTTTACGTGTAAGCACTATAAGCGTGGGGTTTGTTTTTAATGTTCAAGAATATTGTCTTTTACTTGCGATAAGCTATCATAGTTGTTGGCTTCAAAATTGAGTAATAGGCTAGCCAGACGTTGCTGTTCAAAAATAATTAATAATTCTGATTATAATTCAATAATTTGCAACACACTTGTAAACCACTCACTACACAATACAAAATAGTGGTGATATGTGGAGAAAGCTTATTCCAGTAAAACATCAGAAAAGAGCCATCCTAAAATAACTATGTCACCGGTATTGGGTGTGTGAACCAACTGGCACTGCATAGAGTCGTGGTCTACAATTATATCTATTAACAATCAATACTAATGCAGGCATTCCTACAGTAAAATTATGACTGATGCTTTTTTCCCAAAACTTCAACACTTATGATTGTAGTCGGAAGGGGGAGGGGTAAATTGGACCATCGCATGACTAACAAAAATCGAAGATGTCAACTGGATGTTTTGAAGGCGGCATGTGGAAAAGGAGAAAAGAACAAGACAATCTTCCTAGAAAAATTCATCGGGCGGACAACACGGAACACCGTGCCTAACGAAACTAGCTTTTTGTACTCTTCTGGAAAAAGAAATGCAGCAGTTTTTGGACACCATAAAAATGATGTGTTTTGCGTTTGGTTCTCTATCTGGGATCTCCCAGCAACATCAAGATTACCGAAAGCATGACCCTGATAAGTTGATTAGGGTGGGATGATAATAAGGGCTATTCCTTGAAAGCTGACTTCACTGCAAAGAAAACCGTCCTTAGTGTTTCCGCGTTCGATTATCTCATCGACTCATATTGAATGCTAAAAAAGGCTTTGTAGGTAAGTCTATGCTGTGTGACTCATTACTTGCTTCCAGTTTAGTTTTACTGATGAAGAGTATTTGCCAACAAACAAAAACTAGTGGGTTGTATCGAGTTGAGAAACAGCAAAATTTTGCATTTCTTCCTACTGCTCATTCACTCCTCACATTTTGTCCGAAATTCAATTCCTGACGTAGTTTCAAGGCAAAGAAAGAAGCGTATATCACTGATGCGACTGATTATGGAGCGGTTTATAAGTACGCTGTGGAACACGCTGTGCTCGCAAGCCAGTTGGTGAGCAACAGAAAAGAAGGAAAAAACAGCAAACCATTAGCTGAAGCTGCTTTCGGCTCTTGGGAATCGGCCACATTCCTGTGGTTCCTGCAATTCCTGCTATTTCTGTGATTCCTGCGGGTCCCGCAACAATGTGTATTGCGCAAATGTATACTGGAATTTGTAAAGCGCTTCGTAGTGCTGCACATCGAAGTCGAGGAATTACAGGAAATGCAGATACAAGAATCGCAGGAATCACCTCCTGGAATAGTATGGCCAGTCTCTTATTGTGTAGTTACTGGAAAAGACATGCATGACCGTTGCTTTATTCAAGAAATAGAGTGCTGGAACTCTATGACAAGAACATTGAATCAAATTATCTCAACCTCAGTTTTATATTCATGCCCAGCTCTTTCCACCATTTCCTTCGCAATCTTCAAGACCTCGAACTCCTTGAATGAATCACTCATTCGCCTTATTCCGATCATATCAATATGAATCCAGCAAGCTAACCTTTTTGTACTTAGCGGCAAGCCTTTTCTGTTTTTCCTCTATATTTTTCCAAAGCTGATCGTCGTTCCACGTTGCAAGATATTTTTCATACAAATCTGGCAGCCTTGCCAGCAGTTCTCTGGTCTGCATAACCATACTTGCCCTTTTATTGATGAACTCGTTCCACTGCTTCTAAATTATATCAAACCTAAGTTCATCATATTCCAAAGGCATCGTCTCAGCAAAGTTGAAGGGGGGGGGGAATTCTAAATGGATGCAATAGCAAGCCCTTATATATGTGTTAAACGTCTTGCTACGAAAATGTTTACGAAGCGAAAAAGTATTATTCTTGCGGACCTAACGCTATGCTTATTATCGTGAATGGCATGCAATGCTAAGCTTGCGAATACCGGCTTCAAAGCATCTCAAATGTACGAAGTCCACTTACCATCATGAATAGAATTTCTGAAACTCGACTTTAAAGCCAGCATTCAACACTTGCAGCGGACAGATCCGCATCTGATTTGGAGAGATTATTTCGTTTTAGATCTCAAATCACGAGTTTAGCTCAGTTGGCAGTCCTCCCGCTAATGTCCCTCAATATCTCAGCGCTCACAACGTTGAGAGGCTCTCTGGGCTCTTACGTTCCCTTACCTCCACACCGTACTTCTTTGCCCATTCGTTTCTCGCCTCTTTTCGATCTCCTTCAGTTCCTTCATTGTTCATTTGTATCTTTAAATATTCTCGCTTGGCTTCTTCTGGTAGATTCTTGAGCACCTCATGTAAGTCGATGCTTGCCCACACTCTAGGAAAGATATCGCCTGGTCTCCCTGAGACAATACACAGCATTGCTGCAAAGACAGCTAGAACAGTGATTCGTTGCATTCTGAAAAAATCATACACTAATCCCGCAGCTCGAAAGAAAGCAAAAAAGAATAAGAAGACTGCACTGGCTCGGACAATCAGAGCCTTTTATTCAGAATTTTACGCCAATATCCTTCTCCGAGGAATGACAATGATATGAGCGAGAGAACCATAGCCATAACTTATGTGAAAGTTCAGAATACAGCCTTTTCATGTGTAGTCAAATCATTCGAAAAGCCTTTGCCAGAGGCACAATAAGATGTCTTAGCGGATTTGTAGTTGTTTGATTTTGAATTGCAAGTCAACAGCTGTAAATACGAATAACGAACTTCGTCAATAACTTATATTATGAGTAAATTTCCTTACATTCTCTAAAGCATGGTGCCGCATTTCGCTGGAAAAGCATAGCTTTTGACTACTTGGACCTATTGGGTTGTTAAAAAAGTCTTGTTACACTTAAATTCTTACGGTGCTAAGTCATGCACCTCATATTTTTTACCGGGCTATAAGGTACTATTCGATAGAGCGAAGCAAGCTTTACAAAAGGGTATGCAAGTGTTCGCACCAGCTTTGACCCACCATAAGTTTACAACCAGAATCTGAGTCGTACTAAAAGCTCAAAGATCGCGAAAAATTCATATTCTTATTCAAAAAAATCCTCCGCATCTCCAACTTGTTCACGCTGATTGCAAACCACATCAGACACTCGTATGTACCGTTGCTGTATTTTTTATCACCTAAAAATTGAGAAAACGAAAATTTTTTTGTTTGTACAAAAACGGAGATATGCTGTTTTATTCATGTAGCTGTATACTACAAGCTCTTAGAAGTACAACCGTAGATTTGCAGCTTTCCAGAAGTCCTAGTTTTTGAAAATTACCTGACTCAGCATTGAACATCCGAGTGAAAAAGCTAAATCCGGTATTCATCGTAAACTAGGGCTTCTGGAAAGCTGAAAATTTACGGTTTTACTTCTAAGAGCTTGTAGTATACAGCTGCATGAATAAAACAGCATAGCTCCGCCTTTGTAGAAACAAAATTTTTTTCGTTTTCTCAATTTTTAGGTGATAAAAAAGTACAGCAACGGTACATACGAGTGTCTGATGTGGTTTGTAGTCTGCGTGAACAAGTTGGAGATGCAGAGAAATTTTTTATACGACAATATGGATTTTTCCTAATTTTTTTGAGTTCAGTGCGACTCACATTCCAGATGCGAACTTACGGTGGATCGGAGCTGGTACGAATTTTTGCACACTATCTTGTAGTGCTTGGTTTGCTCTATCGAATAGTACCCTGGAGCCCTATTAAAATTCATGAAATTCATTATCGTCGTAAAAATAAAAGTGTAACAAGACTTATGTAACAACCACAACCTAATTTTCTATGCACTGCCTGTCGTGACCTCATCTTAACAAATGCCTTTCAAGAAGTACGCGTTCTCCCTCTGTGAGTTATAAAATCACTAGGTACCTGCAAAATCTATGGACATTCGCTGGCCATTTCTTAGATCCGCGGTTTGTGTTTTTTCGGCATTTTCTGTAACCTCAAAACTTTTGTTCCTACCAAACTTTTCACTATCGTTTGCAAAGTTGAGCTCTCACACAAAGCAAATGGAATGATTCACTAGGGCTGAAAAGGTGCCCCTCTATTATGTAGGTCGTCCCCAAATTCGCTCGCACCATTCTAGAATTTATTCTAGAAATTCATTCCTTATTTTTTGAAGGATTTGCATACAGTTAGATGTTTTAAAAAAGGAAATCGTGCGTTTCACAAGGACATCTGAATAGCCTTCCATTACGCATGTAATGCAGAGATTTAAGCTATAGAAGAAAATCACTCAAACTTCGATTTTTCTATGTAGAGTCGCTAGAAATCTGAGACTTGCTCTAAAAACGTAGCAGTTGGTATTATAGGTTTTATGGCGTGCTACCTTATTTTTTGATTGAGCTTTTCCATAAAAGTTGTTTTTTTTTTGAACAAGCAATACAAGTCTGACAAATTTGACTTTCTGACAAGTCTGACTTTTTAAAGATTTTTCCAAAAATCATAACTTCGAGTTTTTAGCTTATGTTTCAGATCTTCAGCACTCTATAGAAAAATCGAAACTTTAGTGGTTTTCTTCTACAGCTTATACTCCTCAATTGGGCGTAAAAGCCCTTCTGTCACGCACTGTGTGCGTATTAGAAGGTCTTTCGGACGCTATTCAAAGCGTACTCTGCCTTCTGGAATCAACTGTGTGCAACCTTAGGAAGAATAAGAAGTTGAATAATTGAAAATCGTACGAATGAACTTTCCGAACGACTGATAGAAGTGCACATTTTTAGTCCTAAATAATAATTTGTTCCCTTACAAGTGTACTGATCTTCAGAATAAGCATATGTAATTCTTGCACGAAAACATATACGGAATCCGACTGGAGTTTGGTGAAAACAGCAACCTAACATTCATACATGAAGGGACTAAACCTGTGTCAGATGAGAATGCAGTGTTGCAATTTCCAATATTCGAGATATAATGAAAGTACGTTAACAAAAACCCTCAATATTTTTACATTCAACATTTGAAAAAATCGAATATTGTTCAATGTACTGTACAAAATCTACCCTTTTTCGCTTCATGATTGGCTACAAACATTTACAGCATTCCTTGCACTTTGACCGTTACAGATGAAGGATGTCCTGCTTGGGACCGTAATGAAAGCTTTGAGCACATTGGGCTTCCTTAAAAATAGACTACATTTTATCCTTCTAAATATGTCTGCGATGATTTTACAAAATAGTGAAAAACTCTGGTAATTTTGTATTTTTTTTTGTTTTCGTCTTTTTCTCGAGTCAATCCATTTTAAATGAAAAAAGGTCTTCCTATTTTGATACACGAACAAACATGAATTGCACTCTCCGGCTGCTTTCATATTAAACTTACAGCTGTGCTGCAAGTTATCCGGAAAGTTCCGGCAAAGTTGCAGCATAGCGCTCAAATTGTGTCGGAAGTGCCTGGGATGTGCTGCACGCGCTGCACCGCGCGGATCAGTTGCAACTATGGTATTGGACTGTGGAGAAGAGACATCCTCTACGCTGTTCCAGCGTTTGCGTTGCCCTTTCCTCGGCTATTCTTGCACGATTGCTTTTTAGCCGTTCCTCGTGCTGCTGGAAGACTCAGCCTCTCTTTAATCCCTAATCTTTTTGGCCTTGGGATCAACTCTTCCAATGGATTAAAGCTTTCCGGCGCTCGAATTAGGCCTCTCGGTACTCGAGTAATGCCTGTTGGCTTCTCGGTACTCAAGGTAGAGCTTGTGGGCTTCCCGGTACCAAAGGTGGAGCTTGTGGACTTCCCGGTACTCGAGTGGAGCTTTTGGGCTTCTCGGTGTTCGAGGTAGAGCTTGTGGTTTCCCGGTACTCGAAGTGGAGTTTATAGGTTTCTCGACACTCAAGGGAGAAAGAACCTTTAGGCTTAATCTCTGGGTCCTCAATCATTGGTCCTTTATCTGGTCCTTAGATCTTCGTTCTCGCTTGGTACTCAGAGCTCTCGATGGTCCAAACCGCCGAGTAGCAGAGATTGAGTGACTGACGATGCCGAGATTGGATACTCTATATACCCTTGGATAGGTGCTGTGATTAACCGCATCAACTCGGAAGGGGCTGATAAATTTTTTTGTGGAAAGTCTATGCTTAACCACATAATTTAGATCGTCTCTGCCCTATCGGTTGCGCCTGTCGAGGATAACCATCAGTGTTGAAAATTGAACCACCCCGTCATCCGGAAGCGCACGGATATATCAACACTCAGTGAAACCGGAATTTTCATTGAGAAAAAAAAATCAAAAATGCTTGTATCTCGTCCACAGACATCACGGGAGCTTGGATCAACACACTACGACCATGCAGATTTCAAATGTCTTCCTTCTGGGATCAATGCCTCTTACGGACCAGACAAGCCATCTACAGTACATCTACGTTAAGTAGTTCGTTATAGAAACGCTTGCAGCTGGACCGATTTAGCTGAAACTCTGCACACATATGTATTCAACCCCGATGGATGTTTAGGGCTACTTTTTGCGGCGAATCGCTGGGCCATTCTATTGATTTATTCTTTTCTGACGTAAGAACGAGTTCTCAGCATCCGTTAACAAGTCATTATCATGATTTCGTGTAAACAATAGCAGTAGAGTTCATTCGATTTTCGCGGTAGGAAGCATGCGGGGATTCAAGACGAGCGTACTGCGCGCGAGTTACTTTGATGCAGAGACCCTTTGCAGCGCAGGGTAATGGTTAGGTGGGAATGGGAGGCCCGGGAGGGGGGGGGGGGGCTGGAGCAAGGATCAGCTGAAGATGTGACCCCGGCTAGAGCGGGAAAACCAGCTAGACTCAGGATGGTAATCATTTCAGCAAAATTCAAGCCTTGACACATGGGTGTCAAGCGGTCTCTCGCGGTAGACAGTGCCTTACAAACCAGTGTGTCACAGTCGCCAGGTGTTATAAAACGTATAAGTTAACTGCTAACGGTCAATTTTCCGGTGCTACCCAAATATTTTTTTCCTTTCTTGTTTCATGACACCATCATGATTTCCTCCCATTTAATACAGAAAACCCCTAGAACAAGGCAGTGTACTTCTTCTTTTTCATCACTACGTATGAAGCGAGTCATGTGCATCCAAATTATTTTGAGAAGCCTTCGTTTCGTAATTAGCGCACTCACCACCCTTACCGAATTTTAATCCCCAGATGACAGAAGCAATTGTTTGATGAAGGTGAGAATGAGGAAATAAAGATTACTTTATTTGAAACAACATATCTAACCAAGTACCAAGTACCAGTATTTTGATGCAAAGCTTTGGGCTCCCATATCAAGCACAATGATGCCTGAAGAATGCTGGACATGGTGCGCTCCAAACCCAAGGTGGCAATTTATTTAGGTGAAAAACAGAAAAAAAACAGAAAAAACAGCAACCGTAAAATGAAGCTGCGCTCAGCTTTTCTTGTATGGTTGCTCTAAAAAAAACAAATGTAATCAAAACTTTATTT